AACGTGAGAGAACTGGGCGACAATGGCAATGATGGCAACGACACCATCTGTGTCATTTGTCTGTAGAGACTCATATGTCTTCTTCCACATTTGTTCTCTGATAGCACAGACGGGGAACACCTTCGTGCGTCCTGCCAAGAACTCGCAGGAGGTTGTGATAGATTTGGAAATTTCATTGGCGTCCTGAGTCAAAGACATTGTGATGAGCTCACGAGCAGCGCTGCGAACTTCTTTCCATTGCGAATTTGCGTACGAGCGACCAAAAGCCACCGAGATGAAGACCTCTGCATGAATGTCGAGTACACCTGAAACTGCCATGCGACGTGATGACGTCTCGTCCGACTGAGTTTTCCGCACCTGTGCAGCCAGTAACTAGGAACATTCAGTATAACGTCGGATAGGAAAATGAAAGCACTAACTCGGACAGCGGAATACATGACTGCTGGACGTGCTTCCTGAAACCGCTCGTGCTGTAATTCCTCACAAAGAAAATCCACGATTCTTGCTAGAACATCCCCATATATGGCAGAGTCAGATATTGTTGCAAGATACTCCCCGAACCACAACAAGAACCACGGTTTCTCGCCTGCTAATTTGAGATCCTGCAGCATATCGCTGAAGGAAGGATTGTCCTTTATTGCATCGAAAACGACCTGGGGATACTCTGGACCCTCGCCTTGCCATAACTTAATGCCTAAACGCTTAAGCAAGAAGAGTAGACACTTTAGGATGTCAGAAAACTCTAATTCCATATTTATTGAACAATCAGTGCAACGAACAAAATAAACTCACGTCGTCCAACGTCATGTAGATGGCCTGTTACCATTCTTCGATATCCAATTCCTTTAGATGATTTTGTAAGGATTTCTATTGGGAGATGTCGTAGAATCTGGCTGAATCCAGCCCAAAGTTCGCTCGGATCGGAGGAGAACGAGGGTAGTATGGCACTGTCCGTCATCGTCGCTTCGCCTTCGCGAGACAGGGTCAAAGCACTGATGACGTCCTGGAGCGCCAATTCATGTCCAGCAACAAACTGGTGTTCTATCATTGGGACCTGGGTGCTTTTGATGATTTGTGCCTTCGCCCACTGTCTAACGGCAGGGGATTCATCCATTACGAGTACAAACAAACCAGGTGGAGGCGGATCCAGTGGCCAGGTTGAAATGGGGGGGCATGAACGAATCAAGGACAAGACCCGAGGGTCGCGAAAGACACGCATGTTTGAGACCATGTGGTATAACAGAGGTTGCGGCACTTCTTGAGGTGTCCGGGAAGCCAATCTAGAGCTGGACAAGTCTATCCCAAAGCGTACGAGGGCCTCTACGACTACCGATAGTTCCCAGTCATCGAACTTGCTATAGAATGATCTGAGCACATCATCAGAGAATGCGCCAAAATAACTGCGGGATGGTCAGTTGAAAACACGCGTTCTAAGTACTGTCTCGTTGAGAAACTCACGTTGTCCGAGAGCTAGCCTTCACTTCCCCAAACCCTCTGATACACTGACAGCACCCTGAGAGACAAGACTTCAACCTTCTTTTCCAATCATCCACTCTGGGACTGTCGTACGCAAAGAGCCTTAGTAGAAACGTAGCAGCGCCGATGGTAAGCTGGTTGGCGCGACTGCAAAACCAGTGGTAGGTATTATCAGATGCGGATGGTGGAATATTCATCAAATATGAATATATCGGCTGAAGAATATCATCTGCTCCGTCCACCGTATTCACGGGCGCGTCGCGAACTGAAGTAAGCAGCGTCTTGACTTTGGAGAGTTCAACATCGGAGGTCATGAACGAAGTTCAACGTTCAGGTTGGTAGTGGATAATGTTTAAGCAGCGACCAAAAGCGGTCACGAGCGCTATGTATTTGTGGCCCTGGCTCGCTGATGCGACATCTCACCCAGTGAAGGTCTTCTCAGTGCAATAACTTACAGGCGCCTCATCATTACAACATATGGATTCTTGTGATGTAGAACGTCTTAACGAACTCTTGGAGCAGGATGTAGAACTGCGAGAGGTGCGCATTAATATTTATAATAATATAGGAAGTCGCTGATCACCGCTGACCTCCAAAACTTCCCCCTTCTAGAAAATCAAGGAGCAAGTGACGGATCTAGATAAGAAGACTCGCAATATGGTCGGGGTTCTCAATAAGATCCATTCGACACCTCCCGAGTCAAGTTGTGCCATTGCTAAGTCTTTAGGCTGATTGCCAATGCCTATCTCAGTTCTAGGCCTCCTTGATAGTGTGCGCCCAATGTTGCACAGTTGTCAGACCACCAATGCCGCAATGGCCGCACTCATCCCTCCCAGCCAGTTCTGGCGATGGAAGGAAATGTGGACCAACTCTTTGCGCACTGCCATCTTTTCAGCTGCCTTGGTCGAATTTCTTGCAACAGGGAAACTTATTTCCCTGTCAGAGGTCTGCCAGATTCTAGGGAGTAAGCATCGTTTTCTTATCTGGTGTGTGCATAGTAACTGTTCTGTCTCGGACTCCAGTCAAAGATGAATGGAAGGGCCGATTTGCACTGCCCGTCGAAGATTATCTTCATGGTCTGATAAGCCTTGTCAACGAGTTGGTAAGTCGGATAATATTAAACTGAATGCATTCTGTTGTTGTCGTCTGCTTTCAACAACCTTCTCCGATAACTTTGGCGATTTTTTGCCTTCGCGACATGTTTAATTCACTCATCATTATTCTGTAGTCTCGTCTCGCTGTAAATGCAGTGACCCTTGGAAACTTTGAAGCACCTATTCAGATATCTATCTTTGTGAAGGATCTATTCGCCGGATTTTCGATGGTTAGTTTCAAGTGTATAACTGGAATTAGCTCGAATGAATTTGATGGTGTGCAGCTGAATCTAAAGAATGACACGCTCCGGCGACGTTTTGATAGTCTGAAATATGATCTCAAGAAAATCGAAGAAGGTGGGCTCACACTGCGTGCGGGCTGTATGCTACAGTCTTTGACTACATTTTATTCAGTGGTATACGACGTCTCACTCCGGAAATTGGCACCTCCCCCACAGGGAGGACGTCAAATCTAAAACATCGAGTAAAATTGTAATGTAACAGCGTTCGGCAATGTTGTATTCGCAATTAATATCATGCAATGTTGGATACTCCAGTAGAAAGTGTACTAGTAGATGTTACTTGACACGCGCCCCCAGGCCCATCAACGGCGAACTCACTTAAAGATTCGAAGTTGATGTGATGACAAAGTGGCAGGGGCCCTCGGTCATTGCTAGGAGTAAACTCCGCGACACCTGTTTGTATTCAAATCTCCAGGACACATCCACACGTTTCCACAACCTTTCGTTCCACTTCGTACGCTACATAAACTCACTTAGAAATACTCGCTAACAACCATTTTGTGCACCTCATATAGCTGAAGTCAGCAAAAATGGATAGAAGGCGTGTACCAGCGCGACCTGCATCCACGGAAGGTATGTTCTCACGCTCAGTTCATCGCCCTCAGACAACTCGAATGGTGCGGACTGCTCACTTAATATCAGAGATAGATTGCTGGTCGCATGCATCTAAGTCATTGGCATCACTCTCCAATATTTATGCCAACCCTAGCAACCTTGAAGCTATCGGGCGTGTCAACAGATTGATTTCTGCGTGGCCGACCGATGACGTCCTTCCAGCTGAAGGATTTGATAACTTGAAAACCAATTACAAACGGCTGTCTTTAGCCTTGAAAGGAGTTCAACAGCTTAATGATGAGGAAGTCAAGTACGCTGACTTCTCAGCCTCCCCGTAAAGTATCACATATCTTTTCCAGGGCTATCGACAGTGTTCTCGAACAACTCGAGGTTTTGATAGCTCTTCGAAAAGCACCAGAGCTACCCTCACAAGGTAATATTGCGATTTCCCCCCAATCTTTAGACACTTGCTCAGCCAAGCTCACTTATTCAGAGAAACGAAACAAGCGCCCAAGGCCCCCATCGCCTACTGCCACAGCTTCGTCGGTTACGCCACCCCTAATGTCTGCCACACGGCCAATGACAACCCAAGTAACATCTTCGCGGAGCTCGATGGGCCCTTCTCCGGCTATCCCATTTTCGAGAGAGCCAAAGGCTCGCAGAGAAGCTCTTGCGAAGCAGCTGCCATTACAAGAAGGGCGAAAAGTTGCGTTCCACCCACCTGTGGGAAAGGCGGCTGACGGTAGCACGGCTGAAGCCGATGAAAACACATGGATCTTGGCCGTTATCACAAAGTGTATCAATCAGGATAAGAATCGGTGGGACTCGTTTTAGGGGGTTATTCTTCTGAACCTTATTCTTTATCAGATATGAAGTGCAAGACGTTGAACCTCAAGAAGACGGACAGCCTGGACAGTAAGTTTTAATTTTCCATTATCATCACACGGAACAAACCATTCGATATCAAACATCGTCCTCAGATGCTATAACACAACCCTCCGGGCCATTATACCACTACCGGATCCGAATGCCCTTTCAACAAGTGCTGCGCATTTGAATGCCTATCAGGAATTCCCTGCTGGTTCGACAGTCATGGCGCTTTATCCAGACACGAGCTGCTTTTACAGAGCTGAGGTTATATCCTCTCCGAGAGATGTGCCAGGACGCGTAAGATACAAAATTTCGCTGCGTTTATGTGGCTCAATTCAACTTAGGGTGTGTCCACAAAGACCATTGCCATGTACAAGCTCAAGTTTGAAGATGATGATGACCAAGAGCATTCTGTCGCTGCACAGTGGGTCGTTGAGTGGCCCGGACCATGACTATATCACATATCTTGGCATTAAGTATCTCTATTTACTATATTTTCTCGAAGGTCCATGATGTTCCTAGGCAGACCAACGGAGACCGGATTTAGTCTGACTTTGCAGCAATGTGTTAGGGACCCCAGACACTCGTCCCGTATTTCCGCGACCTATGACGCGTTTCATGGCGAACTTTTGAATTTTGCCAAAGTTCCTATGTATATAAGTATGCCGCCGAATATGAGGTCATTTTGCTTGAACACTGCATCATGTCTATCGCTCGACAACTTCTACACGAGATCCGCCCTTTCTTCCGGATGCTGGAGGAGCCCTTTGGCAGATCCGCTGTAGCACCCATGTACCGACAGCGCGCCCTTTTTGACGACCCCTTCTTCCCGTCTCCTGCTGCCATACGTCCTCCAGTTGATGTAACAGAGGAAGGAGACAAATACATATTAGAAGCTGACCTTCCTGGTGTTAAAAAAGAGAACGTTGATATCAGGATAGGTGATGCCGGCCGTACCGTCACCATTCAAGGTAAAATTTCCTCTCGCAAAACCAATGACGAATCAAACACTACCGCGGAAACAACCGGCGAGAACTCAACTGGGGGTTAGTGAATTTCCTCCAGAGACCGAGTTATGATTGACGCATCCTCTCAGCTGTGGCAAAGAGCGAGCCAGGCACACAACTTGCGATGGAGCGCCAATATCCGGGCAGCGCGACCTTCATTCGCACCGTCTGGCTGCCTCGTCCCGTCGACAGCTCCAAAGTGTCTGCAAAGCTCCAGGATGGGATTCTCACCTTGACCGTCCAAAAGGCTGAGGATCAGGAGAGCATTAAGGTTCCCCTCGAGTAATTTTTTCACGACCAATTGGCAGTTTGGCGTTCCTACTACTTATCTTACTTCTTACTTCCTCGTACAGTATAATAATTCACCCGGACAGCCTCCTTCGTCACCAAGCCACACAATTATCCGATGTATCAGTAGCGGTTCGCTCGTATATTTTTTGCCTCAGCGTTTGTTTCACTCTCGCTGAGGTACGTTATTCTCTTGTAGCTTATATGCACTCGTTCTTATGGACCTTAGTCCTGACTCACTCTAGCCTTTACACAATGTAGCATAGCATCGCAACAGCCAGTTCACTCGCATTTAACTGTATTTTATGTGCATTGTTATGGCCCCGTTCCCATATTGCCTGAGCCCATGAACCCCCTCTGAATACCCCTGACAGTCAGGTAGTAACCGTGCTCCGCACGGTCATCTACAATGTTGCGTGAACGTGCAGATTCAAAACAACACCAAAGAAATCTGACTCATTATGGTACCAAAGGCGACCTGACACAGTGAAAAAATAGACGTCATAATGAAATCCGGAATATACCATTCTCACGGGTGTCCCGGCATTCTAGTCTCTGTGTCGTGCGTGCGGTCCACCCTTTATCGGAAATCGGAGCTTTGATTCTTGACAAACATCATACACACTCCGAAAGATATGTAACGACCCTCGTCGCTGGCGCAAGGAACAACGATGGAAATGGATCATTCTTACTCAGTGCGTTACTGTAGATATATGCTTCACTCGAAGTTGACCTTATTTTCCAGTTCAACCATCGCATCATGCGTTTGTACCGTATCAGCCGTTAAAGCAAGGACTGTGCTGCTTCTTACTGGGGAACTTCTAATCGACACAGGACACCAACAAGGCACGATGTCCTATGCGCAATACTACACACAACAGAAACCCGCATCTACTATGTACGAGACGAAAACTTGTGAAAACGAAAATGCAGGACAACCTCAATCGAAGAGAGTGCGCCAGGACAACGAAGCGAGTACATCTTGAGTAGTATAAGAAGTCGAATGAAAGTTGGGAAAGCACGATGCATCTTGGCGTATCATGCATTGTATTTATATGTCGATGTCGATTATTCGTAGGGTCCCAAATAAAAAGGCAATCGCTCCGCACAGTCACAAGTCGGCAACGCCGACGCCTAGTTGGAAGGTCAAATGTGGTCAACGAGCCATACCTGCAGCTTGGTTGTGCCAATCTCCAAAAGCTGGTGTTGCTAATAATGACTCTGCAGTAGTGAATTGATCACGATCTCCTACAAATAAAAATACATGCTCCTCCCTGCAACTACACCGAGGTTCGGCAAATTTTTATCACAAAGTCCATTAGAGGCTTGTGCTCCTTTGTATGAAATCACAGTAGAAGCGCAGCTTGAACTCGCTTAAGAAATGCAATGCACGCTCACTTGACCTTAACATTGCTTGTTTCGATACGTTCGAGCAGTTTGAATCTCACCAGAAGAACGGACGAGCTGCCATATCTCGGACCCAAGACAGCCATGACCACGTCGGACACCCGCAACATTCCTTCTCACCACAGTGGAATATTCATTGCATACTTGTGCATCAGACTATACACTACAAATGATTGCCGGAGCACGGCTCATCTTGTGAGAGGAAAAGAATATTCTATTCGAGTTTGCTTTTACTCACTCCTAACCATTATGTTGCACACCATAAGATTATGTGCTGTGGATGCGGAAGATATATTGAAAACACTGCATGTCTTCCTGCGAAGTTGAATAGGATCTTGCGAGGTTTCTTACAGAGGGGGAAAAACAGTTTGAGTAGGAGGTATTGCCTACTGTCGAAGGCTATATGTAACTTGCTTCGCAAAGTGGCGGCCCAAAGTGCCAACAGAAGGAACTTTGGAAATGGTGTCAAAGTCTGAGCTGACCTTGCATCGAGCTAGCTCCACAAAACTTCCGACAGTCAAGAGAAGTTTTGGAGTGTCTTCGGAGCAGGTGAACCCAACTTGTATGAATAGCGAGTCGCAGAAGACACTGATTAGATCAGTTGGGCTACAAAGCATCGAACATTAATGTCAAAGCACTGTAAGATCCAAAGTGAGCTTAACTAGCACTGAAAGACCATTCCTGACATTCGAAACGTCGCTGATCAGTGGCTCCAGTGACGCATTCGGTACACTGCTGCCATCTTCTGAATTAGACAGTCATATTTTGCCAATCTAGTGACACTAGATGGTGGTCTGACAGTAAGCTCGCGGCGGGCTGAATCACAACCAAGTGTCGCTAAAATACTAGCTATTCAATTAGGTATGTAGTCGCTGGAGAAATGTAAGCCCTTACCTCTGGATGATCCTACAAATGTCAAGTCGATAGCGAGCAAGAAAAAAGTACATAGAAGACGCGGAGAAGGATCGAAAGAGCGCCTATTTGTGGGTGTATGGATAATGTTGACTAAGTTGTGGCAAACATTCATCTGCATGCTACATGACGCTAATAGATGGAGCAAGATAGTGTTTCAGAAGCAAAGTTAGTATAGTTGGCCTCCAGCAACCATGCGAAGTTTGCGCCCTCAGGTATGGCACGCGAGAACTCGTGAGATGCATGCGGGTGGACGTCGCATCATAAGATTGTATGTTGTGGACACTACGTACCTTTCAGTCATGGGATAAGGTGCAAGGGCAACGATGCAGGCCCCTGTGACATACTTCAACAACTTGAATGAAATTAAAGCTTCGGACGAGTACCGTGTTTAAGGACCCTGATTTGATGAAACCTACTCTTGAACACGCTGGATGACTCGAACTCGTACCAGTATTCAAACTTTCTAGATGGTCGTTGAAGTAGATCGATCGGTAGTCGGGTGAGAGCACTTCAGAAGGAATATGTGAGTTATAGCTAGCCCTTGTAAGTTCAAGTTGTCACGCCGGTGGCGCCCACATGTTGGGCACATGCAAAGTAGGTGTGTTCTTCCTCCGCTCTGCACCCGAAGCAGTCAGCTACAAACAACACTGCACTGGGACCACTCCGAACCAAATTCCACTAGGCCTCCCGGAGATGGCAGCATATTACGCTACTCCCTCCAGTTCCATGGTTGCCCACACCTCTGCCTTGCAACCCTATGGGCAATGCTCTGAGCTGAGTGGTCCAAACCCAAACGTTAGCGTCTATGATCTACCTACGGACTCCGAAAATGAAGCAGAGGTGGATGAACTGGAGTCCGACACAGATCCCGAAGACGAACTCGCCGCAAGCGCCTCTGCCCACCAGAAGAAGAGCGGACGACGGCTTGGGGAACGTGTTCCCGGGACAACTCTGCTCCCTCCTTCCAAAGTAGAGAACATAGTTCAGCCGGACAGTGCGTTCAACAAAATATCTTAATCAGAGCTCGCGTTAAGCAACTTTTCAGCCAGCATTACGATGTCGAAGGAAGCGCTGTTCGTTTTGTCGGTTGCAACGGTGAGGGAACCTGTTTGGCGGTTTTGCAGTACATCTGAACATTGCATTCTCACTTGCAGGAGGAATTCATAAAACGAATGGCCCAAGCTGGCCACCGACAGGCGGCTGCAAAGCGTCGGGGGACCGTAAATTATTCAGATTTAGGTAAGTGAAAGTATCTTTTCTGACTTTTGACTATAACTCTTCGTCAGCGTGTTCCACCCAACAATATCAAGAGTTCATGTTCTTGCAAGGTTTGTACGCCATTTCTCTGTCTCGTGCCGTCTGACATATTATTCCAGACACCATACCTGAACCAATATCCTTAGCAGAGGCGCTTGACAGACGGGCAATGAAAGAGAAGGAAGACTTGGAAGCCAATCCAGCGATGTCTACTACCCACCGACAGTCACCTCCTTTCATATCAGCACCCCAGTTAAATGGGAAATCAAAAGCCAAGCCAAGGCCGTCAGTCCCTAATGGCAAAGATACGACAAACGCAAGTGCAAATGGAAATTCTAGCAGAGAGCATAGACGGAACGAGGACGGGATGGATGGTGATGTATCAAGAAGCCGGAGTACGAGAGTCGCGCATGGGGATCGTTATGCCGGGCCAGAAGAGCACGCATCAAGTGACGTGGGCAATGAAACGGGTGTATATCAGGCGGCTTCATCTCCGAGGCATCCAACCTCAGGCCTCCGGGACACAGCACGGTCACCTCATGAGTTTGCACCCAACTGGCCTGGCCATTACACTGGCCCCGCGAGCGGCTTTCTGCAGGATCCACGTGGAGGGTTTGGTCGAGGAATTGCTAGTCAGAATCCCGGGCGTACTATCTACTCACAGCAATCGCGTCCAGAAAATGGTTCCTATCAGTAGCATGTGCTGAATCGGCATGCATTATCCCTATTGGCTAGTATATTTCTTCGATGCAGTCATAACAAGTAGATCGTCCTACTTAGATTTACCCATGTTACTATAACCTTATCTTATCTTCAACGGACCCTTTGGCACAGCCATTCACATTCGACTGTATCTTAACTTGAACCTTCATTGAACACCGTCAAAACTTGTATCAAAGTACTATAAGGCTATTAGCTCAATGTCACACGCTTCAGCAAGCCTCCCAATCATCGATATTGCACCTTACCTGGAGGCTGAACGTGATCCGACGAAATGCCAGTCCACATCAGACGCGCTACACAATGCCTGTGTCGATTACGGGTTCTTCTATCTAGATATTTCGCAGTTCATAGATCACTCAGAACCTGAGGAGTTGACCCGGCTAGCCCGAGAGTTCTTCGCACTGCCACAGGAGGAGAAGGATAAGATTAGCCTAGAGCACCAGGATAATGCTAGAGGTATGTCACAGTTTAAGCAGTCTCCGAACCAAAATCTTGAACTTCTTATCCAGGATATCAAAGGCTCAAGCAGAATGTGACTAACGGCAAGGCGGATAACCACGAAGGAATCGATTTTTACAAGCCTGTTGAGAAACCAGACAGATCCAAACCAGTGTGGGGGGAGAATCAATGGCCTGATATCCCCGGATTCAAGCATAAATACGAGAAATGGATTGAGAAGATGAAGAAGCTTGGCCTCATTGTTATGGAGGCGTACGTTCTCGCTAAATCCATGATATTTTCTTCCCGACATGTAATACTCTCATAGGATGTCTATTGGACTCAAGATGACAACAGAAGAATGGATGGAGTTGCGAGCTCAAGTAGATGATAGCTTCTGGGTGATGCGAACCATCGGTGAGCATCATTTGACTGGGATTCATAAAGATTGGCCCTGCTTAGTTATATATGAAAGGCTATCCTCCACTTCCAACTGACGACGATGGCTTCTCCTGCGGAGCACACAAGTGATCTCTATTGGTTTTCTGATGTCTAGGTATGCTGATGCAGATGCATGAACAGAGACTACGGCTGCCTAACGTAAGCCATGAGTGCAAAGCTCAGAGCGGTATCCCGGGCCCTGACGTCGATTCTCTAAGCTTCCTATATGCTGATCCTACTCGAAGTGCTCTGCAAGTGTTCTTGCGACAGTCAAGTGCGACAGCATCAGATTTGGATGGCCTGCCAGCAGAGCATGGTACAGAGGAAGGGATATGGATAAACGCGGATCCTGTTCCCAATTGCATCGTTTGTAATATCGGCGAGAGTATGTTGCTGGTGTTTCAAACGTCCTCGCTAGCTAATGTAAATCACTCAGTGTGGGAGATCTGGACAAACGGATTGTACAAAAGCACGTTGCACAGAGTGGTCCATAGAGGATCGAGCTACCGGTAAGTGTTGCGCAGCGCTTTGTTGAGCTATCTCTAATTGATTTGCGTAGTGTCTCGTGCGAACCCACCGTTCTCTGTAATATATTCGTTTGCTGATGTATTGACAGGATACCGTTCTTCTTCGAGCCCAACTTCACCGCGAATGTTGCCCCACTTCGAGCAGCTCTGTGTCTTTTGCCTTCCCAAGACCCATCTCCAAACGGAGGACAGACCTACGAATCTGTTGTATATGGCGATTTTTTGCTCAGGAAAGTTGGCAACAATTTCGCATTAGATGGGAAGGGAAAGTATGACTAGTGATGATCATTTCTGTAAGTTAGAAGTTGATATAGGATACATTATTTGCCTCGCTATTGTATCCCAGTTTGTTTTGGGAGGCTCGAATAACCGCAAGATCTGCACCTTGAGTGACTTCCGCAGTAAACCCTAAGACTCGGTATGCAGCTGTTATGTGTGAACTACCAGCATACTTGCATTGCCGTGTTTGCCCGACGGAATTATTTCAGGAGGCGTATCCATCACTGTAGAACTCGTAATCTATGAAATCATTATCATCATCTTCCTCCGTGCTATAGTCCATGAAGTGTTCTTCGTCACTTTCATATCCATCCCAGCTCACATCGGCCACCACCTCTCGCAACAACTGCACATCGGGAGCGAATATACCCGAGGTTGAAGTAATCGCAAGGTGGTCTAACCCTCGACCTTCGTTGACGCGATCAATGAGCACGTCAAGGAGGTCGGCAGGCCGCACCCAGCTGGAGATGGAGGAGTTGAACTCCGAGTTGTGAAGGACAAGATGGGAGAGAGCTGGGGAGAAAATGGGCCCTTGTTGTGAACGCCCGCCTATAGGCCGCGATACACTATGCTTCCGTGAACGCAGGGATTTAAGAAGTTCTTCGAGAGCCTGGTCTGGGCATCGCAAGTACATGTACGCAAGATTACGGGCACCACCACGGGCAAGAATATCAGCCCAGAAGCCATCCCAACAAGCGAAGGAAAAGTGGAAGTACGTGGCCTCGATACTCCCAAGAGGAACGATCCTCCGCAAGTCGCTGAGGATTGTTCTCTCCATGTCATTAACGGTGTAGTCAAAATCAAGAATGACGGGCACTCCGCCGACAAATGCAGTTCCATACAAGACATCGTCGTTGCCCACAAAGAAGGGTTCCGGATCGTGCTATAATGCAAACGAATGCAACCACTAGAGGAAGACAGTCGCATGGAACGAGGGGCTTGTCGAGACTTATCTGGAGTGCCTTTGAAGCAACTTTCCAAGGCACGGGAGATGATGGGGAGGCTTAAATCCCATTCTTGGTTCGGATCTCCCGACGATGCTCGGCACACCAGTCGAACTTCCGATGTTGTCGATTCAATGCAAGTTAGCACGTTGGCCACTTCCAACATTTTTGCTGTCAAACGTAAATGCTTCAAGTGGAAGAGTTGAACATTCATGGCACGAGGTGGGCGAGGGAGTGACGCCGTATTAGGAGGAAAGGGTCGGGAGAGCATCTTCTAATACAAGAGTGTGCAGAGCAGGCATACGTCGGAGCGCAGAGATCAACTCGTCTAATGTTGGAAGGCATTCCGGTGATAGTTTTTGGATGTCAAGGACAGTTAGTCCTGTGAGTACGGAAGATGCCCATGACAGATCGCAGTGCTTGATTCGGAGGCTGCAAAGGTTGGGTGCAGGGAAATAAATCGGAATCGCTACCCGTGGTGTTTGTTTATCCCCTACTTCCAAAGCAAGCAATCGTAGTTTGGGAGCAGAGCAAGATGATAGCTTGTTAATAAATTCCATGATACAACGGCACCCTGCAGTATCACCGTGCAAGAACAGAAGAGAAACCGATTGCAAACGCTCCATGTGCATCAATGCCTTTTGGATGGAGTCCATACGATATCGTCGGCCAATCTTCAAGTTCAACGGAGCCATTTTGGACCTCGTGAGCATTTCATCCGTGGCCTTTGAGCAGTTGAGAAACGGGGTGACCCACAACTCTGGTGTCCTGAGAGCAACCTCGCGCCAACGACGACAAACGCGTCCAACAATGAGCCATGAAAGAACATCAGGATTGTCAGGAATATAACGCAACTGCGTCTGCTGAACATGAAAGACGAAAATGGTGCTAAGGAGCTCTGGTGGGATGGAGGATATGGGAGAGTAACTGTTTCGGCATGTCCGAAGAGCTCGCTTTCTCTCTTCAAGGGCTTCGAGTTTATCGTCAATTTCTGTTTGAGCTTTCGAGTTTGGCGCAGGACTGTCTGGGGTTGCTTTGGGACAGGAAAGCCTCATTGCATGATATGGCATGCGAAAGTACTGAAGTGGTCACATCAGTTTTGAAATAATCTTCAAAGCTCCAAACTGGTAGGTACTACTAAAATGAGATCACGTACTGATAATACTGCACCACCGGGTGGTTGGTTAACTGTTTATTCCCTGAGTCTAAGACACGGAGACGGGTATTGGGTATTCTGAATTGTCTAAAGGTCTGGCTAAGCCTGTGACACTGACAAGTTCAAATGAATGAATATAAATCTTTTATTTGGCCATGATCTACACTAACATAAATACGATTGGCAGAGTCACGTGCAATCTGTAGATGTCGATGAACACTTTGACTCGATCATTCCATCTTCTGATTCCTCATCGATTGTCAGCGCGATTAATTGCGCGACTCCATCCTTTAGCACGAGCAATGTCTTACGAATCTTCTATATCCAGACTCCCTTCCCCACTGAAAGATCTCGTTGTGACTTCGCAAGCAGATGTCGGAAAGACTGAAGCCGACAAGGCTGAAGTAGCGCAGTGGATCGAGAAGGTTGCAGAAGGAGAGGTCGCTCTTCCAGTAAGCCGTATGAATGAACTGGTCTAAATTGCCTGATGAGCCAGTATTGTTGCAGGATCTCGAGACACAACTCGTCCCTCGCACATATATTGTGAGCAACTATCTCACTGCAGCAGATGTTGCTCTATATGGAGCGCTGCACCCAGTCTTTGTTCGTGACCATTATAGTATCTAATTTTGCAAAAACTTATGTCCATAATTTCAGTCGCAGCTACAACCTGCTCAGCTCTACTCTACTCCTGCAGTCACGCGTTACTTCGACCACATTCAAACGCGACCATCTGTGTTGGCTGCGGCAAGTGCACTGTCTCCAGCAGTTTTCTTCTGTTTCCTTTGACCTCGCGTCTGCCCCTCCAATTGAGAGGAAAGTGGATGCACCGAAGAAGAAAGAGAAGGCCGCGGCTGTGGCGGAGCAGGTCGAACCGACAGCTGTAGCGCCGGTATCAAAAGAGAACAAATCACCCGAAGATAAACCAAAGGAAAAGAAAGAAAAGAAGAAGGACGCAGCCGCTGCGGACAACGGAGGCAAGAAAAAAGAGAAGGCTTCTACTCCTGCTGGTGGCAAGACTGTTGCTGAAGATGCCGGTGAACCTGTGCCTTCAATGATTGATATGCGGATCGGTCACATTGTTGACGGTGAGCTGGTCTCTGCTTTAGAATTTAAAACACTTGTCAACAATTTTGACAGTGAAAAAACACCCCGAGGCTGACAGTTTATATATCGAGGTAGGCTATTTCCCAAAGTAAAGATTGATTACTATAAATGTTCCATCAGCAAATTGACCTCGGTGAGGAGACTGGTCCACGAACAGTTGTTTCTGGTCTTGTGAGCTACATACCTATCGAAGAAATGCGGGATAAGTACCTGGTTTGCATTGTGAGTCACCATTATGATGTCATAACTAGATAGTTGACCTTCTACGTAGTGCAACTTGAAACCCGCGAACATGCGTGGAGTGAAGAGTTTTGCGATGGTCCTAGCTGTAGGTTCATTTTCTTGGATAATGGTGCATCTCTATATGACATCGGCTAGGCAACATCAAAAGATGGGAAGGACGGTGGCGTCGAGCTTATTCAACCTCCACCAGGCTGCAAGCCAGGTGAACGGGTATACTTTGAGGGCCCCGATTACGAAAGTGCGAAAATGTTCCTAGGTCTCCACTCTGTGCACTTAGACTGCTTTATTTAGATGCCCTGCCGTTGGCTCAAATGAACCCTAAGAAAAAGATATTCGAGACAATACAACCAGGTGCGGAAACTGCTTTTCTCCAGGATCTCGAATGTTAATAGATCGGGTTTCTTAGGATTCACGACGCTAAATACGAGGGAGGCAGCGTGGATCAATCCTGTGACTAAATCAGTTCACAGGATCCGTACCAAGGACGGTATTTGCGTTGCTCCAAACTTCATTGGAGCATCGTTATCATAGATAACACAGGTGTAGAGACGTGGCGATGTCTATGGCCAGATCTATCAAATACATATCCTATATCTCCAAACTATTTCGCTCCGTGTTATGCTTCTCCGAATACGACGATGAATCGTTCTGCACGTCGATGTTCGGGACGGGTCCTATGAACCAATATCTCGCGGAGAATATCCATGACCCTCCGGCAAATATAAAGACGACCAAAACGATCACTACCGAATAATCTACACCTTGTGATGAGTCAAGGTCTTGTGACTGTAAATGGCACTCACTCATGGTTTGCACGTTGGCTGTCTGTGTGTATGGAAAGAGTAGCATGACGACCATGAATACTACCCAGACAATACCTATCCAGCCGATCGGAAAAGACCACCAACCGAGATTGAATGGACCAGGCTGTAGTTTGTCCTTTCCCCAGGTAACGCGACAGTAGATAGGGGTCACGTATGAGATATACAAACCTATTACAGACGCTCTTCAAATCAACAGGTATGAGCATAATGACTTGAAAAGGTTGCTCAACGCACGATGCCAATGAATTAAATGCTGTCGTGGAAAATACCAATATCCCACAAACGGCAGAGAGCAGCATTGCAAACCATACAGCATTCACTGGAGTCTGCGTCCTGGAGTTGATGCGCTTCCACCATCGTGAGCCAGGAAGAGCAGTTGTCCCGAGAAAACGCGAAAATGACGCGTGAGGCGTCGACAGCTTGTGTGCATCCGCAAAGATACTGTCCGGAAGTTAGATATCTGAGCGTGATCTTTGTCGTAAACGCACTTTCCTGCAACACTGCGATAGAGCACCAGAGGGCCAGAGCACCTTTCTTCCCCAGGACATTCAAATATACTTGGCCAAGAGGGAGCGCTAGGTTCGACTGCAAAATGTCTGGAACCGAGTTGGTAGCATAAGAAGCAGCGATGTAATAAAGCCAGCCCAGGATCTCAGTTCCGGCGACCCCAACCAAAATCGCAATAGGTGCTGCACGTGCAGCTCCTGCGGTTTCCTCAGCGATATGTGCAGCAGAGTCATCTGGATAGACATGGTTAGGTATGTGCCTCTCGAAGTATACGATCGCCTTGCCACGCTACTCACAGCCTGTCAACTGACCACATTGGCGATGTGAAAGCGAGAATGAAAGCCCAGACATCTGAACATGGTCAGGCACCAAAACACATTAGACATGACACACTTACTATTACTCCATCCGGTATTGTTCTCGAACTTTGTCCACGCATCCATTGATGAGACTCTCTGATCGCCAGCACAAGCGAGTAAGGAGACAATTGCCCCAATCGATGTACTCACTGCGCAGTATGTTGTGAGCCCAAAACAACTTGATGCCTACTCTTGCGACTCACGGATGAGTACCATAATCACAACTGTCATTCGGGCGAGAATACGAGTTCCAGCTGAGCAGAATATCAATTGTGTGAGATGGATAGCCTGGATTGGATGCTCTATTAGTAGGAGAGCAAAATGATGAATTGGTCACAAGACCATCAATATGCCAAATGTCGCGTCCCGATCCCAAAACCACTGCGCCGTCCGTGCCCATTGCTATTGCTGTGGTGATGAGTTCCGTGCTACAAGGCATACATAAATTAATCATTCATAAAATTAGAAAGTGCACACGAACCAACTGAAGTTAATGGAGCAGATCAAGGTTACTTGGCCCATGATGTTACTCCATCCAGTTATCCAAGACGCAAGAGCGGACTGTTCCTTCGAAGCCATTTTCGCTGAGAAATAGTACAGCCCAGCGCTTGTTCTACCGCAGGAGGTGGTTCATTACATAGACATGATTCAATGGTGATCAGAAAGACTTACGGCATAGAAGAAGCTAGCTCTGCCATCGACGCAGCAACACACATGACGAATATGCATGCTATGGGCCATGCCCAAACCATGGCAAAATGGCCTCCTGAAGATATGTAAGTAAATTCCTGCTTTCATACATGCTCCCGGGTATCACTGACCTGAAAGCAAAGGATAGGAGTATCCGGTAGTGACTCCACAAGATACAGCCAGGATAGCCATCGAGAATGAGATGGTCTCTAGCAGCTGGGCCACAAAGTCAGGTCTGCGCAAGCCAAAAAATAATCACGATACCGAGAACTCCCGTTTAAACTCGCTCTTGTAGCCAAGCTTCCGGAGCAGAATGTTATCTTCTTGGTGAGCTGGGGGGGCACCATCCTGGCTATTGACACTGATGGACTCGGTGACAATGCCGGCATCTTTATCCTTAACCATTTCAATGAGGTTTTAAGAGGGAGAAAACCTCGAATGCAGGGTTGGAGTGTATTCTGCCAAATATATAGAGTCACAGTGGCACTGAAATTGAGATTGCACCTCAAATAGAGAGAGCGTAGCTACGGAGTCACAAGCTACCGTCATCGTTGTTAATAATACTGCAATTGGAGATAAGGGGACAAGAATTCCTAGGATAGACCAGGATAAACCGTGCTCTTATCTTCCGTATGACCCAAGCTGTCATCTTCTGACGTGTTACAGCGGGCCACGCGTGTCGCCTGAGATCGATAGGACAATATGCAGAGCTTGACGATGGGAATTCATGGATATTCACTGGGGAGACGACAAAATAACCCGATAGCGTTGACATAGAAGTCTAACGACAACGAGCGTTACCAAATAAGGCATGTGAACATGATTATAGGCTCCGCGGCTGCGTTCACAAAACCTAAACACGACTTCCAGAAAAACGAAGTTGCAACCGGAAGTTATGATACCACGGGCAGCGTTGAGCAAGACTCTACGACACTTCAGCTCATCTGCTCGCGCATGCGTGCACATTTCTCATATTGGAAAAACTCCCATTCCAATCCCACCTAATGTCACCATCACCCAATCTCAAACTTCGCTCGAAGTCAAGGGACCTCTTGGCTCAACGTCCGTCCCACTGGAATCATACATGAAGCTCGCGTATCCGCAAGAGAACGTGCTGACAATAGCTGTAGAGGATGCGGAGGTAAAGAAGCAGCGGTCAATGTGGGGTCTTACACGAACGCTCATAAATAACGCGGTCGTCGGAATGACGGAGGGTTTCACTGTTCCTATATATCTTGTGGGTGTTGGATACAGAGCTGCGTTGGAAGACGATCCGAGAGGAACGACAAATGGTGGCAATGGCCAAAGACTCAATATGAAGCTGGGACATTCTCATAATGTCTACGTGCCAATTCCTGCCCATATCAAAGCAGATGTGCCTTCTCCGACGAAGATTACACTCTTTTGCACGGACAAGCACTTGCTTGGTCTTTTTGCTGCACGCATACGGAAATGGCGCCCACCCGAACCATACAAAGGCAAGGTGAGCATATCTTCAACTATAAATCATAGGAAAAGAGGAGACTAATGCATGGTTAGGGTGTTTTCATTGGTAATGAACAAATTCGTATCAAGTCCGTCAAAAAGAAGTAGTCTGGCACCCCACTTTTGGTTTTGTACGGACTTACTTATCCCTGCATGCACGCAATAGATGTCATATTCGTCTTAAATGAACGCATAAAGACTACGTAGATAGCTAGTCCTGAAATTGGTTTGGCTGAAACTTTGACCTTCGAATAACTGCTAAGGAGGTAAGTGATCACGTGATACGAGCACCTCGTACTTCGCCTGCGGTGGTAGCTCTTCGTCACGTCTACTTGGTTTACACAGATTCTTTTTTCGCTCATCTAGTGACCACCTATCGACATCCCTTGAAATGCCAGCAGAACTCTGCCCACCATATGCGCCATTTTTCGGCTTCGCAGGTGTTGCTTCAGCTGTAAGTCACCGCAGTCGGAGTGTTGCGTTCAGTTCATAATAACAGTCCTCCGTAGATGATTTTCAGCAGTATGCTATGGCTCTGAGCTCTCAAATATTATCTGATGAACTCAAATACAGCGGTTGGTGCTGCGTTCGGAACGGCAAAGGCTGGAATTGGTATTGCAGGCCTGGGGACGTTCAAGCCTGAACTGATCATGAAGGCGAGTACAGCCCTTTAACAGGCTTCTTTGAACTCATGTTGCAGAATATAGTCACTGGTGCCTGTGGTTATGGCAGGAATCATTGCGGTGTATGGGCTAGTGGTATCGGTTCCTCATTGCAGGAAATTGTAAGTATATAATTCCAGCATGACGATTGTGTGATTTGACCGGTTCGTAGTGACCCCATCGAAAGGCTATCCCTTAGCTGCAGGCTTCATTCATCTAGGAGCAGGAATTTCTTGTGGAATGACTGGCATTGCTGCGGGTTATGCTATTGGCCTCGTCGGAGATTCGGTAGGCATTTCGAGCTTCTATGAATGTATGCGTGAACCTCACTACTGGTTGCAGTGCGTCCGGGCATATGTTCACGAGCAACGAGTATTTGTGTCCATGATCCTCATCCTGATCTTTGCGGAGGTCCTGGGGCTTTACGGGTGAGTATTTTATATGTGCTTGTCCATACCTGCTGATCCTGTGTGTATTTCAGCCTCATCGTTGCATTGTTGATGAACACGAGGGTCACTGCTCTCGTGGGTGCGTGCGATTGATCACTTATACTTCATTACATACATTTTGTTCCCTACATAAATACAAGACTCTGAGTAAAAGCACAGGCGAACTATGTCTTGAACGTTCGGTGGATGTCATTTTTCAGTCTCTGGATCTACTGCGAGATGAAAATTCCGAACGAATTGAAGATGAACCTCGTCGCTTTGGTCGCTTCCTACTGCGATCTCTGGAAACCGAACGTGAGGCATCTGAACTTGACGCAGAGCTGGCAGATGAGCTAGACCCTGAATCCGAATCTGACTCCGAGTCCGAACTATCCGAAGAGGACCTCGAAGACCTGTTTACAGTGGACAATCAGTCCACGCAGGTATGGTGATAAGTGAATTATAAACAACCTTCTGGCTTTCTTTCGAATTCTGCCGTCTTCCTCCTTGGCTTTTGCTTCGGATCCCTCCAGTGCCAGTCGTTCTTGCTCCTTTGACTCTAAAATTCGGTTTGCCGTTCCACTCCTAAGTAACAGAACGGGGCATCAGCCAAATTCAACCACATAAGTAGGGTCGTCAGTCGACGTACTTTGTTCTAAATTCCTCCGGCACTTCGACTGAAGGCTTTCCCTCCGCCTTCAACTTTGCAAGTAACTTCGGATTTTCGAGCATTGCTGTCCGCGAGGGACGGGATATGTATGGACGCGTGGATTTGCATTCGAATATGAAATGACCTGCATGAATTTGTTCGGTCCATGTTGCCTTTGTAACAGTATTCGAAGGAGGACACACACCTGTACCAAGGCACTTCTGACAAACTGTTGCAGAGTTCGCTCTTGGGTTGTTGTTTGACCGACGGTGAGGCGCGAATTTCGACATTGTGAAAGGGAATTCAGTATTTAGATACTTGGATTTCACTTTGGTCTGAAGTAGAGATACGCGTTGGGATGATGGGCTATATCTAGGTGAGATTGAGTGTTGAGAGGAAAATGTAAACCTTGTGCAAGAAACTATAGCTAGCTCACTCACAGACGAGAGGAAAGGAAACTCTGCTTACGTATTGGCACTTAAGCCAGCTTAGACTGCACTAGTAAATATTTGTGGGCATACCTTTTATCTGTTTGTTCAATGGATGTAGTGCATCAGTAGCGTAGCCAGCCAATTAAAATCGTTTATTCAGTTCATTCGCAAAATCGATTCATACTGTCCATGTAAGTGGTCGCGGGTGAATTGATCTACTACGCAGTATGTCACCCACGTGGGAAATTAGAATCCCCCCGGGTCACATATAAAGACCCGCCAGTGATTGGAACGTTTACCAAGCTTCCGAGTCATCGTGAGTTTCCATCAACAGCCTGGGACTTTGATTGCTTGGTCGATGGCGACGTGAGGACGAGTTGGCATAATACTCGCGGGCTTCTCTCCGGTACTCGGTCTAACATACCACTTGTCTCTATACCTCGTTTGTGGCATACCCCGGTACAGTGATGTCACTCACCCCAGAACAGAAGGAGACGCTGGAAGTGTTCCGCAAACAAGTGTTCGATGAAGAAATCATTCGAGAAGGGGACTCTGTTGGGACGGATGACACAACCCTGCTGTAGGCCCTTTTCCCGCTCTCGGGATGTGTAGCATCACTGACTAACACCGCTATCATCATGTGCACATTACAGTCGGTTTCTTCGCGCACGCAAGTTCAATTTGAATGAATCAAAAAAGATGTTGCAGAATTGTCAACAATGGCGGAAAACCGTCGGAGGCGACGGGATAGACGCGTTATATGACAGATTAGATCCTTATGACGTACGTCCTTCTTTCAAGTGAATTGTAGTTGACAGTGAAACTTTCTGTTATCGTCTAGTACCCTGAGCGGGAAGAAATATTCAAGTCCTGGTCCATGTATTTCCATAAGGCAAGTTCTCCACAAGGACTTTTGCTAAGAATTCTAGTGACAGCGGTCGTGATGGCTATCTCAGACAGACAAGGTGTGATTGATGCCGTCCTTGAACTATAGTTGTTGGTAGATTCTTGCCTTGCAGAAAGGCCGACCAGTGAACATCCAGTTCTTTGGTGGGCTAAACCTTCCGGAGTTGTACAAGCATGTCACACCGGAGAGACACTGGGAGGCTATTGTTGTAAACGCAGATTCCCTTACTCGTGAAGTGCTTCCAGCTGCATCGCGTGCTGCAGGGAAGCGTATTCACCAATCGATTGTAATTGTGGACCTTAAAGGGTTTGGGTTCGTCGTTCAAGTTGGTGCTTTCCGGCTGCCAATAGACTGACGTTCGTCCAGGTTATCACAGTTTTGGCAAGTGAAATCATTGGCACAAGCCTCGTTCCAGATCTCACAGGATTATTTTCCCGACACGTGCGTCCTATATTATATAGCATTGTTTAAGTTCTGTATTGATTTACTCATGGTCTTAGAATGGGTCAACTTTTGATAATCAATGCGCCATCTTCGTTTACCTTCATTTGGGGAATCATCAAGCCCTGGCTGGCAAAAGAGACTGTAGAGAAGGTCGACATTCTCGGTTCAAACTACAGAGAGATTCTACTCGATGTGGTAGATGCCGAAAACCTACCAGAAATACTGGGAGGTACGTGCACTTGCAAGGGTGAAGGAGGATGCGACCTTAGCGGGGCAGGACCATGGATGGATGAGAGGAAGGAAAGGAAAAGGAATGGGAATACTGAGGACTCTGGACCCGGAGAAAAGACAGAAGAAGTCACCACAGTGACTGAACACAACAGTCCAGTTATCAATCCCATAGATGCCAACGTTAACTAGATGATCGGTACAAGTAGAAGTATGCATGTGTATTATATACGGATGTCAATAAGGAAGGCATGAACAATATATATGAGTTTTGTACATGTGACATGGATCAAACCGCTTCATTGATTGCAGTCTTTTGACGAATCTTCAATATCAACTGCATGGATGCGAACAAAATACTTCCGCTAGCCGCGAGACTCTAGACAGCTTGTCAGCCAGAGTACGAAAACGCCACGTCGCATGATCCACTCACCCCAGCTAAGACAGCGGGCCTCCACCAAATGTAATGCGAGGTCAGGACAGCTCCACAAATCGGAGAACCTAAGCCGAAGGTAAGTGACAGTGGAGAAAAGCCAGTGGCGCACATGCCTAAGAGTGATCCAATGCCTGTGGACGCAGGTCAGGATGTAGCTCACCGGATTTAAATCCACAAACCCACCAGTCATTGTGAACGATATTCCAATTCGAGCGCTTGAACAACTTGTCAGCGTGAACTCAAGCCATGCGTCAAGTAGTTACCCAAGATCTGAGACTTCAGGGGTCAGATATGATGTCAACGGGCCAATTAATGCTATGGCTGGGATGACATTTAGTGAGCGTCGGAGGTGTGTCAAGAGCCTACGCACTAACTCCAGAAAAATAACCATAGCTAATACCTATCAGTGCTACGCTGGCCAACGAGCGCAAGCCAATCATTGAAAATATTACAGCGGATGATGTGAATGAGCAGCTGATGATGGTATTCGGGATGCCCACGTAGGCAGAGATAACGCCAGCGGTAAGTCTTCCTATGAAAGAACTAGTATTGGAGATTGTAAGCTGTTAAGCCAGTACTAAGTAACTCCTTGTTGACTGATCTCAGGGACACGCACCGAATAAAACGAAAATTCTTTGCTTACACCGTGCCAACGGGAGTCTAATTGGAGATAAAATGCCACGAAAAAGAATCCGACTTCGAAAGCAGCGATCCTAGGCAGTAGAGATCGTTTGAAGGTCCATGTCATCAAGTGTTGACTCACTCACCCTAAACACGCACAAACATAAGCAGGATCTCTCAACGAGATTTGTAAAACACGAGTGTAGCTAACGGCCTTGGGTTGAGGTGGAAGTCTTGTGTGCATCAGGAGATACGCTATGAGAAGCAGACCACCAATCATGCCCGCACTAACACGGACACCGTTTGCAAAGCCAAGTCTTCCATTGATGAGGTTGTTGAGCATAATTGGGTGCAGGATTGAACCCATCGACACCCCTGCAACGACGAGTCCCATCGCGAAAGCTCTACGTCGCTCGAAATGATGAGCTACCACGGCGATTGAGGGAATATTCGTAAGGCCTATTGCAATCCCGGAACCGATACCTTGAGAAAGGAATATCTAACATTGTTCTCAATTGAGTTGTGCAGTGACAAGAACTAGACTTGCTTGATAATATCCATTCGGTTTTGCTAGTGACAGCATAAAGAGGAAGAGACACTGGAGGAAACAGCCAATTTTCATCACATGATAGCTGGGTGTATGATCAGGGGTACTTTTATGTGAACCGCTTGCACACATACAATGCGCTTCAGTCAAGCAACCTTCCTGACACGAGACCGACTGAGAATGTCAAAAATGCATTCACACTTCCTATCCAGCTATACCACTGTTAGTCAAAAGCGCTGGCAGTAACGAAACGGGCCAAGTCTAAAGCTCACTGACGCGATTTCAGAAGGTGTAGAATTGGTCAGATAAATTTGAGTATAAAAGTCTGTATTGCCATGATCAGCTCGTTCTGTAAAACAATCCAGCGGACATTACCCTGGAAAACGCCGTAGGAGGTGGTATATCTGTAACGTGATTAGCGAAATTGGTCCACAAAATACCGAGTCAATTTTACCCAGCGCCACAGAATTGTACCAAAAAACTTGACGATGTTTGATGATGAGTATGCAGCGATAGCCATTTAAAAACACCTACGCTCCTAGCACTGTGCCCCAAGCTGTTACACCACCCTCGGGAAAATCTGACGAGTCTAAGTGGTCGACATGACTGGGATCGCCAGTGCTTTTGACCAGTTGCCGCAAAACGTTTTTGGAAGCTTGCGTTGCAGTTTCATCACTAGGGAGAGGTGTAGACATGGACAACAGGGACGAAGAAGGTGGGGGGTGGGTAGCTATGCACACCCTGGACCTGGGGCATCATGCAGTATTTGAGGCGGCCAGTGAAACCCTGAGGCAGCAACTTGACCCTAGCTGTGATTATACGTGCACCCTGCAAACCCGTCAGCGGTGTCACCCGTACCCATGTGTTTCCTTAAATTGCAATTACCATCGTTCCGGCTTCCGAGTGATGACGTACACAGACGGACATCGTTGGGACCAGCTCTTCGAAGAGGCCAATGGAAATTGGGAGGATTAAATACCTCGATCAGGCGCAATCTAAACAGAAACTAGAGCCAAGCTAGAGGTGAAATTCCCCTGGTGCCCGCCTAACATGGCCAGTAACCACCCAGTTGTGACCCATGATGCATCCTCATTCCTACAATTACCCTCATACAAGTTGAAGTTATAAGCAAAAGTCATCGCATGTTGGACTGTCCCCTGGAGCTCCCGAGGAGGGCTTCTAATGTAGGGGGTAGAAAGGATTTGGTCTCTTGGCAATTGGCAAAATGGCAGAACCGTGTTTGATAGAATTGCAGAAGTCAGTAAAAAGATATTGTCTGTTGGCAATTGCCACTAGTAGAAATGCCAACAACACTAGAAGTGAGCCTAAGTTAGTCGAACACAAAATCACCTTGTATATCTCTCTGCACCCGACTTGATCCAGATTCACCAGATTTCCCGGGAGTTCCCGCGTATCTGTCTACATCACCACCCATGTCTTTTCTGAAACAAGGGGAATAAAATCATCTTGGACTGAGCCTATTAGCGCGTGACAGTGGACGAAGTCTCACCTTCGTGATCATTTGAGTGTTAAGACCCATTCCGTACCACATTATGATATAGACCAAGGTTTGTGATGACCCCTTCATAAAGTTGATTCTATCTCCCCATCTAAACAATGTACCACTCCCCAGAATGTGTCTTGCTACAAGCAAGGTAATTCAATAGGTACATCTGAACTGTACAGCTCTTACAGACGGAATGCTGAGTTTATGATAGCGCACACAAACTCGCTATGCCTCCAATACTATAGTCAAAAACTGTGTCGCACACTGACTAACCATTAGGCAACACAGGATAACAGACATGCCAAGTGCTGACCTGGCTGCGCACAACTGGACTTTCGAGAAGTGCCTGACCGGTTCTCGAGCGTACCAGACGGGATTGAGGTCCACGAAGCTGCCGTCAACGACCGGGGCTGCAAGAGCCTCTTCATGAAACCTGCCTACCAAAGCGATCGAAATTCAAGGGAAGCGCAAGGCCGATGGACTGGCAGGACAAGCTTCGCCTGCACAGAGAAGGGCGGGCCAACGTGTAAGGCAGCGGTTGCACTACAATAACCTATGTACTTAGCGATTCACTTGTTCGTATGGCACTATACCGTAAAGCCATGACAATACAGTAGATAATGACATAATGTCTCATGCATCGACATGAAGCTTGTCCAAAAGTGCAGATAACATCGGGTTTCCACCAAGTCTCTCGAGTTCTCTGTTAGCTTGTTGCTCCAACTTTTTGAGCACCGCCAGGGTGTAATCAAACGACTTGGTGGTGTTTCTGAGATGCTCGATAGCGTAATGCTTGAGGGTAGGAGTCTTGGGGCGTTTTTGCAGGACATCTGACAATATCATTATCATTGAAATCGAATGAGATGTCAGTAAACATGATTTTGAACTCACTCATGATCAGTTGGTTTTCAGGCTGTTCAAGGATGCCATGAACAATAGGGAAGGAGAATTTTCCTTCAGATAAATCTTCTGCAAAGCCCTTGCTGTTCGTGTACTGAGGAGAATATTCAGGTTACGTCTCAAATAATTCAGATTGGAGACTAACCTGATCGTTCTGGAGATTCATGTAGTCATCACGTATTTGGTAATAAATCCCAATGAGATTACACAAAGGGACGTAATCACTAAGACAGGAGTCATTTAGCCCGAGGAAAATCCAGAGACTCCATGAGAGATTTACACGTTCGTGTTTGCCGTAGCACATGCCATCATGAGTTTGACAGCAATTCTGAGAAGACCGCCCGTTTCTAAGTAGCTATGTTCAGGATGGTTTCTTAGAAAACGACAACAACATACTGTCTTTGACCATCTGCACATACTCATCTTCTGTCGGACAGCGGAGGGTATCACGCCAAAGGATGTCCAGGCCCTGCCCATGATGCAGTGACATGAGTTCGTCTGCCTTCGTCTTTATGTTGGGGCTGTATATGTGATAAATGACATACCATTCACTATAAGGTCCAGATCATGATTGGAAATGAGGCGTTTAGGGAAATTGGGCTTCTCGGCGACAGAAATGTCATCCCTAAAACTATTGTCTGGACCTGCACTCGAATCACAAGCGCGACGCCGCACTATGGGCCTCAGAGCAGACAACTCTTGATATGCTAGGAAGTAGATGTAATTGGCGGTATTGATGGTCTGGGGGACACCGTATATTTTATGTGCGACTGGAAAAAATCAACAACTCCTTCAGGGGTATCGCCAACAACAGACAAACCTGGAATCCCACGTCTCAGCTGAGAGTCATCTTCAATGTCGTCTACCCTGTAGATATGAAGATTAGTTGGCATTGAGATTAGTTCGATAACATGGAGAGACATACAAGAGACTAGCATCATGGAGAAGACCAACAACGCGGATGATGACCGCAAGCTTGTCTTTGGGGACATTAAGCCAGAGGTTGAAGCCTTCGACAAGCCTGTCTGCGACTTTTTTTCCCGGGTTGGCAGTGATGTAGGTATAGGGTTCGAGCAACGCCTAGCAGATTGGACCTGGGCCTTTCGCCAAATCAAGATCTGTAAATATGCTCACAGATTCCTGAGCTTCGGTCCATGTGCTGGACGATGGTGCACACAGGCTTGAGAGGAAGCTATCGTATCTTTCGATATTGGCATGCATTATGACTGTTGAGACAGTGTAGGTTGGTGCAATGGAGTGACCTCAACTCATGAGATTCTGAGACCTCTCACATGAACACCGGGGCGCTGTTGGGCCTATTCGGAGGCGATAAGGGTAACGAAATCTGACGAATCACATATTCAAAAAAGGTAGGTTCCCCTGCCGCGTTGCAAGAAAGCGAGGATCAAAATCGTCATGCACGAGCTGAGTCCTATCATCAAAGATTGATAGAGAAATAAGTGAGTCGATGTTGGATTGATATAACTTATAAGTGGCGGGCTGCGGTGCGCGTGTCTGTCACGTAATCGTGTTGAACTTTGCAGGTTTGTTGAAGAGGCCAGTGCGCCAAGCACTTGGTCAAAACTCAGCCCAAACTTCAAAGTAGTTTTGCCTCAATCATGGCGGAGTTAATGAAATATTACTCAGTCTGAGTCAAGACGCAATTATGTAATGGGACCGCAGTGCCAGGGGTGGGAAGCTTCCTTATGCAGTACCTCCTATTGAACTTGAATTACAGTAACCCAGATACACATCTCTCACTTACGCTTTGACTGCCATGTCGTCTGAAACTCCTTTCAAAATTGACGTTCCCGACGAGAAACTGACCGCCCTCCGCGCTAAACTTGAACTCGCCACTTTCCCGGATGAACTGGAGGATGCGGGGTGGAAGTATGGCCCACCTCTGGCGGGTATGAAGCGGCTCACAGAGAGGTGGAGAAACGAGTACGACTGGCGCAAACATGAAAAAGAAATCAATGAAGAGCTGCCAATGTTTACCCGCGATATTGACGTGGATGGTTTCGGCGCGCTGAATATCCATTATGTTCACAAGAAGAGCGAATCTGTTGACGCCATTCCGCTGTTGTTTTGCCATGGATGTAGGTCGTCTCGTATGCATGCAGACTAATATTTTCTGACCTTAACTAGGGCCTGGGAGCTTCTTGGAAGTCGGGAAGATTTTGCCCCTCCTGACTGCATCGGCCCCTGAACATCCTAGCTTTCATGTTGTGGCGCTCAGTTTACCAGGTTTTGGCTTTTCGGAGGCTCCCCGCAAACAAGGCTTTCGCATGAATCAATATGTCGAGGTGATTATTATTCATCACACGTGCTAAGTTCTCCACATGTTGACTGGTGTACCTAGGTAGCTCACAAACTCATGATCGCTCTCGGGTATAACGAGTATGGTATGTCGCTAAGTTACAACTGTTATCGCGCGATGAATTAACGAATTTGTTGATTTCTCTTACAGTTACCCAGGGAGGTGACTGGGGTGGCCTCGTGAGTAATGTTTTACAAGCAGACACGACTTATCGTTGATGTATCCTCAGATCACTAGGAAAATGGCTTCTGTGTATGGTGGGAGGCATCACAAGGCATGGCACACCAACTTTCCAATGTATGTCATTTTCTCGGTCAGCACATGCCTTGACTCATTCTCGTCTATGTAGTGCTGAACCACCGAGCTGGAAATCGCCCCTGTCTTTCTTGTCTTTCTTGCTAACCCCGTGGACTATAGAGGAAAAGGCAGGCATCGAGCGCACCAAATGGTTCCGCACCAACGGATATGGCTACTTCACACAACAGAGTACCCAACCACAGACACTCGGTTACAGCCTCGCTGATAGCCCTGTTGGCACGCTTGGTTGGATCTATGAGAAGCTGGTCCTTTGGACAGACAATTACAACTGGTCTGATGATGAAGGTAGCAGCAGTCTTGCTTTTCCGAATATCGCTCACCTGTTTTAAATAGTGCTGACGTGGATATCATTGTACTGGTTCTCTCGCGCCGGTCCCGCTGCCTCCCTCCGCATTTACTTTGAATTGCGTGGCGATTGTGAGGATTTAGGTCGAAGCCCCACTATTCCTATGGGAGCATCGTTTTTCCCGAAGGAACTCATAGTTTTACCCGCAGCGTATGTTTCTGCCAATCAACTTTATTGAAACTAATATGAGTATGTAGGTGGCTGCGCATGTCGAACAACGTTGTTTTCGAGTCCCATCATAAGACAGGAGGCCATTTTGCTGCCACTGAACGGCCGGAAGAGCTTGTTCGGGATGTGCGGAAGATGTTCGCGAAAGGGAGCCCTGCGTTCGCAATTGTCCCTGGAAGAACTGGATATGCTTGACAAACATCATTCCTATGTGTAGTGCCATTTGTACGCAGGACTCTACCGCTTGCTTTTTCTAGGACTGCAAGGAATGCATTCATTGGAGTCCTTTGACGCCGCAGCCCCTGCTCAATTGTGCTGACGTGAGAAGGTAATCAACGGCCGCTCAGAGACTACCGGTAAGAAAACATCGTACTGTCGACTGAGGGCGAATGGCCACGGTTGGCGCGACAGCCAAATACGTGGAGCGATTTAAATTGTTTAATGATTACCGAAACCTGAATGTTGAACACTGCTTCGTGGTTCGCTGAGGCCAATATCAGTATTTCTTGTAAGTATATATGTAGTAGACTCCGAGTCGAAGGTCTGATTTAGAGTGCCAGCGAACACATATAGATGAGTTGCAACCTCGGCGATAGTATTAATGGTGGAGCCAACCTGCCAGCTCAATTCCGGGTTGATCCAGTGGGAAGCTTCCTTATAAGTTATGCAGCACCTCCTATTGAACCGGTGACCGGGATCTCTCACTTGCGCTTTGGCTGCCATCAGTGAACTGGTGGAGAAATTAGAACGACATATATAACAATATATAGCACCCAATCACAAGCATCAGCATAATTATGTTATCGTTCATCACATGGTCTTGTTTGACTATTTAACAACACGTAGTGTTCCTAATTTTTCTACACAAGTCTGTGATCGGGAAAAGACATTCATATTGCTCGAATTGAAATTGAAAGGGAAGATGGAACCAAAGCTAAGCACCAGGACGGAGGACTCACAACCGCAACACCAGAGATGAAGTTCACAATCTCAAAGTTATGAGCGAAATACGGTATCCTCCAGAGAACAACAATGTGCTTGCCGAGCGAGCAGCAAGAAAATATGGATAACAAAGCAAATGATCAAGCTAGAGACTCACGTCTGTCATGTCTTAGGCAAGGTTTGTGGTCTGGAAAAGACATTCGTATTGCTCGAATTGAAATTGAAATGGAAGGTGGAGCCAAAGCTGAGCACCAGGAAAGAGGACTCGCAACGGTAGCACCAGAGGTAAACTTCACAGTCTCGAAGCTATGAGTGAAATACGGTATCCTTCAGAGAACAACAGTAAATAATTTCATGTCCCGTAAAGCTAAGGACCATGCCAGATGACTCACAACCACCACGTCAGAAGTAAAGTTAATAATCTCAAAGCTGGGAATGAAATATAGCATCTTCCAGAGAACAACTATGTGTCTACCGAGTAAGCAGCGGAAGATTATATGGGATGCTGTGAATTTTGATGCCACCTGGATTAGATGTGTGATGATTACCCACGAGATATCAGTTGTGAATTGTGCAAAAATATTTTACCACTGCACTCTAGCCAGCACGTGATTCCGCTTTGGATACTATCTCAGGAGGTTGTAGCCTTACGCGGACGCTTCATCTTTATGACATGGTCCCTTACCTCCGGCCTCGACAACAGTGGGTCATGCATTGCCCCAGTACCGTACTTACTGTTTAATGGACACGTTTTATATTGTGCCATGGATTAGGACAATCGCGCGTTTTACCTACTGTAAGGAGAACTTCTTTCCGCAGGCATTCGGACCTCCCTGATTTAGGTTCTCGTGTTCGCGACTACATTGTCATCAGGCAAGATCATTTATTTGCAACAAGCTCTCTTAACTGGAAAGGGATATTATAGAAAGCCTATATATAACAGTCGTAACTTGACTATCTCAAATATCACTAATTGTGTTCATCTCGCAAACCTAGAGCTTGAATCGTGCTATTCGCATGAATACCAGAAAATTTGGAGATGAGCATAGTCTCATTGTTTGTCTAAGAATCAGCCTATCAAACACAAGCTCACAGATGCGCAAACCAGAGTTTGAATTTTGCCATTAGCGCGAGGACCATAAAATGCAGGGGTAGCCATGGTCTAGATGTATTTTCAGAATGGTCACTAGATTCACTCGAATGTTCACGCTTCACACCAATCAACAATCATGAAGCCAAGGGATAATTAATTGTGAATTTAAAGTAAACAACTGTTTGAAGCTACCAATCACCGTGCTTTAGGACGAATCAAAAGCAGCGTCATCGCGCTGTGCCCTCTGCCTTGCAAGAGCGTTGACGGACATGTTGGCCTTTGCCGTGCTGGTGAGGTCATTGCGATTGTTCCGTCCGAAAACCTTTCTAAATAACAATTTCAGGTGAAGCTTGGAATGGGGAGCATACATTACACACCTAGTCCACCATTCGAGGAGTACGTCAACCCTACGCTGTGCTGCTCGACCAGGGGCCCTTTCGAAGAAGTCTACGATGGTCCGCCAGAATTGTTCATAGTCGAAGTCGCCGTCAACAGACCGCCACGAGGTAACAGACTGAAAGTGCAAATCGAACCTGTCGCGTAGTCACCATCTATCGTCAGGCTCGCCAGACAATAAGACTTACTTGGCATACGATGTATGCGATCGAGCGAGGAGTGACTTTTTTCATTTTGATGATTTGCGCGACGTGTTTCTTGACTTTGACTCCGAAGGCAGACTTATTAGCGCGTCTGTTGTTCTGGATGACATCTATGCCATCGCCATCCCCTTCGATATCCTTTGCTGAGGAGGGTGATGTGAATACAGCTTTGTACGCCTGAAAATCGGTGAGTTCGAGACCACGACGATCGGGCTACTCCACTGCGACAAACCTGAAGAAGAACTCTGCTTTTGAAAAGACCTTCCTCTAGGTCATTCGGATTGGCGGTGTACTTATCATACAGGAAAGCCGGAAAGGAGAGATCAGTCACAATATGGCCATCTGAGCGATCTCGAATCCCTGCCCTGACGCTAATGAATAGTGAGTGTTTTTTTCGACATTCCGAGTGCACTACTTACACGGGATTGCTCCAATCAAGCTCAGCTGGGCAGAGTAGCTTGCCGCATGCATCGTTGGTGAACCCACGAGAATGTTTATCGTCAGCGTCAACCGGGGGATCGGGCTTGAATTCACGGTTAACCCATTCAGCGACAAGAGCCTTGAGCTTTGAGGTATCGTCACCTCGAGCACTGTCAGCCCCCTGCCGAAGCTAAACAAAGAATCGTCACAACCAAGCTGACCACCAACATCCTAGGAAAAGCAAACCAGTTTCAACATGTGTGAGTAGTCGTCATAGTCCATTTCTGTAGCCTTCGTAGGGAGCCACGACAAAGCTGGTCGTAAGGGTAACATACCCTATCTGTAGCCGGTCTTCACTACATGAAAATGCAGGTGAGTAGCGTTCACTGGGAGCTTTCAAAGGCGACAGACTTACTCGAGGCTAGATTCTGCGTCATCCTCAACTTCATACCTTCGGTCATTTTCGGTGATAAGGTCCTCGATGGTATCAAATAGAGTAACAATACGCCTGATCGCTCTTCCTTGCGACACATAGTAGTTCGTCTGCCTTGCAGATAGTGAGCGAAGCCAACTCTATACATGCAATAGTAGACTTACTTTTCTTTGATCGGCGTCCTGATTCGAGAGTCACAAGTTTCCCCTCCAGTTGCGCAATTTTCCGTCTCTGTCGAGCCTGCAGAGATACTTCAGCTGCCTGGGATCGTTGGCTGCGATTGTCCTGCCGATCCTCGACGTGCGGTTCCGATGTGCTGCCCTTGTGTGACATAGAGACAGACAGAATAGATAAAATTAATAATAAAGGGAAGAAGGGAAGAAGGGAGACGAGGGATAGAGCTAACCAGCTCCCATATTATATGTCGGTCGGACCCTAGTAGACTCAAAAGCGGCGTTGCCTATTTAGGATAACATTAAGTACTGTAACGTACATCACTGTAGGGCTCACCAGAACAGATGCCTGTTTAGGAAAATGTTAGGCGTCGGCGCAAGGACTCCATAAAGCTGCCCTGCATTGGCGAAGATACAAGGAAGTAATACTCAATCGGACTCTTGTCGTGTGATATCTGGTCCGCGCTGTGTTGGCTGTACTTGGCGAGTTTGAGCGCAGTATGCTTGGAAGTAGTGCCTCGAGAGGGTTGTAGGACATCAGTGATGAGGTTGAGAAGTGTCGATTTTCCGGCACCAGTTTGCACCGAGGATGGCTACACAAGAGTCCATACTACATATGAGTGAGCTGGACAAGACCCAAGGTAGAAAGAAAAGACGTACTCCATACAATTATTTGTACAAGTAATCTTCAGGATTGCCCGAGTATGAGAAGGCGACTTCGTCGAATGCAATGATAGGAGGGAGTTTGCGAATACCCTCGAAGTGGAAGCGCAGTGGTCGAGGCGTCTCGACTTTTTCGACGAGTCCCGCCGCCTCCATCTTGTCGGTGATGTTTTGTTTCGACTTGGCCTGCTTGACGAGGTTGGCATATGTACCAGCGGAAGCGATGAATCTGATAGTGTTCAGTCAATGGCAAACTGCGAGAAAGAGATAGACGTACTTTTGATGTGGGTTGTTTCTTCCTCCTGACGGTCGGATTCACCTTGTTCTTCTGCTTAGTGCGCACACAGGTAGTGTGGTTACCAGCGTAGTAGACGAGCTTGTTCTTTGTCGTCAAATCCATGACGTTAGCACAGACCGAGATGATGAAACCTTGCGGATGCGAGGTGATAACGAGAACGTCGTTGTATGTTGATAAATATTCTTCAAGCCAAACGACAGCGCCGAGATCCAAATGGTTCGTCGGCTCAACAAGGAGGAGCAGATGTGGCTTAACAAAGAGTGCATGCGCATACGCCAACCACCACTCCTATCTTTTGTAGGATGGAAGCCTGTCTGAAGCCAAGACGCCTCCAGGGCGGCGTCATCAACATCATCTGCGATGCTGAGATCTTCGATGCGCTTTTCGAGTTTAGCGACCTTTTCGCGAGCGGAGGCCACGATGAAGTCAACGGCGTTGACATCGGACGGTTCTGTCTCACCACGGAGGAGGTAGATGTCAATCTGGTGGAATTTCAATGTCGCGCTCTGCGCTGGAGAGGAGGAAGATAGACTAGGGGGAAAGTGTAAGATGATAAGATACAGAAGGAATATGAAAGCGTACCTTTCCAGACTCATTCTCACCCAATAGACCATAGCGCTGTCCGTAGTTGATGGAGGTTTCTGCACCCTCGATGATGAGCAGACGACCATGGAATGATAACGTATAGGAATCGATTTTAATATCCCTGCCTTTCAGCATCTGAAACAAGCACTCCCGCTGCATTCCTATAGCCGGATCAGCATCCTCCATCACAATAGACATGATACACACCTATTGGTGGCGATCTGGAGCTTGGCCATGGATGTCAAGTCATCCGTTCTGTTAGCGTCAGAAATGCTGGTGAGTGCAGAGCGAGACATGCTGCCTGGCACAGAGTCGTTGTGTATAGACAGTCGAAGTTGTGCCATTGTGCTTTGCAAATTGCCTTGCGGCCTTCTCTGTGAGCCTCTGAGTCTGCCTTCGAGGCCTGCCTCAGCGCCCTCATCAAAGATTTTACTATATGCAGCCATCACGTGACACATGGTTGGCTCGCTAATCTGAGACCGCCGCTAAAGCTCAAGGAGAATTAAGTCGACAACTACTGTCACGGTGTATACTAAACAGGTCATTGTATGAAACTTGAATATGTACTGAGTATGAAAATCATTTGCCGGCTTTAAGTTTCGACTGGAATGCGTATATGTCCGTCAATCTACGGAGTGTAAGTGATTTGTGATTCTCCCACCACTCCGATCGTTGTTTGTGGGGTGTAATATGCGTTTTTATATAGTCCATCAGCGTGGTGTGCACGGGTTTGAATTCTTTAGCCGAAAATTCGTTATCGTCGTTCCCACCATACTTTAGCCCTAGCAGGACGCAATGCACGGCGACGGCAGCTGTACAATACATACCATTCAGCTGAGTGACGTATGGCTGGTAGCCAAGTTCTACAATGGTGTTCTGAACGATGTCCTGAATCACCTCATTTTCGAAAGGAATCAACCCGCCCGCCTTGAAAAGATATTTGGGGAGGCGCGAAGGCTTTAGAAGAGTTTTAGCTCTTTGTGCCTGGTGCGTGGGTTCGGATTCATTGGACGAAAGTGGAAGACGTAGCCCATAGCCATGTGGAACTAAGTGATGGGCATGTTTTCTAGCAATAGCCATAACGTTTGCTGATGGCGCCGAGAGAATTTTATAGAGCGTCGATTCATTATCAGAGGTCCATCGGTCCGCGGTATCTGTTGATGTGCATTGAAATATCAGTGGTTTTGAAAGGGACTGCTACCTCACCTACATCCGCAAAGCAACGTGTTGCCATGGTTAGCGCTGAATGAACTTCCTGCTTCCGCTCGTCCTCGGATAAGAAGGGGCTGACATTGACTACAGAACAAATAACAATGCCCAGCGCCATTTCAACGATCTCCTTGTGAATCGGATGGCTCTCGTCATATTGCGCAGGTCCTACGCCAGGGCCACTGGGATGTGGGTTCCTCAGAACCAGCAACGAGAGGCTGAGATGTGGGTTCCTCAGACCCAGCAACGAGGGGCCGGGAGGACGAGGTAGATGATGCAACATTTGAAACATCCTGTCGCCCTGTTAGTCTTTGGTAGTATGTTGTTAATATAGGTGCCTACCTTAGCAGCCGCCCAACCCCTTATCTTTTTTTGACGTGGATCAAATGGGATAAAAAGGTCACCTTGACGACGTTTTCTTGAGGGTTGGCTTCTAGAAGCCTCTCCAGCAGGCAACGGATTCCCGAGACGTGGTGCATCAAAGCACAAAGGCTCATCCAAAGGTAAGGGCTGGCCAGCATGAAGCGGCATCACATCCTCCGAGTCAGGCATCATAGAAACGCCATCAGCGGATTGAAGAGGCGCATAGAAGTCAGGAAAGTATGAAGCAATGGATGCGTGATAGCGCGATAATGTAGAGGCCCCGTAAGACATCGTACCTGGAGCCGACTCGACTCGAACGGCTGGGGGGTTTTCACCAGCGGAGTAGTTGTCATAATAGCTCATGCGGGCACCGATGTTGGGGTCTGGAAACATGGTGCCCGCGTGTGGATCGATGGGGGTGAGTTGAAGGGACGGAGCATTAGAAAATATCATCGATGAGTCATTGCCAGTGTCCGTCACGGTAGCGTAGCTATCACGATAGCTTGCGTGGGCATCGAGGATGTTGGGGTAAGGAAGTGTATCAACCGGAGACGATGCTAATAGCCCTTCACTAGAACTAGGATCTCCGGGGGGGTACCGGTAGCCACTGTGTACAGATGGGTCGTTGAGTGATGCTGGCAGCTGGTTGCCAGAGCTAGTGGGGAAAAGATCATGACGACCGCTTGCCTGTGCATCAAGCAAGAATGGATTATGATTTGGGGTGGAGAAGGACTCCGTTACCGGCTCCTGCTCAGACTGGTCGTGGAGGTAGTGATAACGATAATCCGCCGCATGGTCCGCATCCAAATCCTGATCATGGCGGCCTCTTTGAGTAAAAGATATTCACTTTAGTAGAAGTTGACTGCCTACCGTGACCAAGCTCAAGTTGGGGTGTTGAACGGCAACAGGAATACCAGGCCCGGAAAAGGATGCTAATGGCGCCGGCTGCTGCGGCTGATGGTCAGAATCACGGTAGCCTGGACCCGCTTGCGCATCGATGAAGTTGTATTGTGGATCGCCCGCACCAGAGTACATCGCTGGCAGCCGCAGACGAGTACTATAGCCGCAGGACCCGAGAGTAGTCCTTTAAGCTATTGCACCATCATAATCTCAACCAAACTTGAACCCTCGAGTCAGTGGGTCTATGATAGGAAACAGTTCTAATGAAACACTTCGACTGATTGTGACCGTACTGCCGAACAACGAGGCGTGGGCGCTAAAACATACATCCCTAATTTGGCTTTTAGTATCGGTACAATTTGAAGGCACGTTTTTGATTGACATTGAAATAGGGGTTTCCATTTCGTAACTACTCATCCGCATGTTGTTAAATTCAAATAATAAGGCAGAAATTTCAATTGGACGGGTCTGAATTAGTCGGCGCACCTTCGTGTCATGTGATTCTTCAATGATATGACTCATATATGGGTTCCCTCCATACTTACTAATTAGGCTCGGCCGAACTTGAATCGACTCCCTGAGGAAGGTGGAAGGTTCTAGAATTGAGTTTTACGTGCAGCGGGTTCAGCGAGTACGTGCACCTTGTGATACGGTAAGATAAAAATCAACTTCGATGAGGTGATGAGACCATTACACTAGACTTTTCCGCAAGTTCTCGAAGTGACTCCGAATTGAACCAAGGCTCACTAACTGCAGCCGAAATCCGGCCCAAAAAGTCCTCTCTTCGATCGATAAACAACTCATCATGTCATGTTCAACATACCCTAGGCTACTACTACTACAAGGAGCACAACATGTGGCTCAGTTCTGAGCCATATCAACTAATTATCTGCAAACGTACCTGATTTCTTCCTGCACGTGGTAACTCCCGTTCCCTCAATGCTCACATATGTTTCCTTTCTTCCCATCCGACTCGGATAGGACTTTGAGCAGTGGCTTCCAGGCTGACTTGTCCGATCTCCCAATACTGCCCCCTCGTTCCTTTCAACTTTGGCGTTTCACCATGACGGCCCCTGTGTCCCTCTGAGTCAGATATACGCCTACCTGTTCGTGCTTTTTGTCATTCTTCGGTGGACTTCTTTCAAAATATTGTTAGATGGTGTTCTTCCTTCCAAAGCTCCTGATATTCTCAGGCTAGCCATCCTGTGACAGGCTACAATTATGAAGCTCCCGCGCAGCGGCAGCCTGTCAAGTGCGCGAGGACCAATTTCATGCATGGAAACTTCCCTTATTTGTTACTGGGTGCCTGTGTCTGATACTATCATCATCCCGGGACTTTGTTTGAATTAAAGTGTGAAAGCTGAGCGTTCTCCCCGTCATACTTCTTACGACTATGATTGTTTATTTAGTATCTACCGCAGACGGTCCACGGTGCTCCATGTTTTTCACAAAATACCTTTGTGTTATCTGTCTTTTGCACGATGTAAGCTACCTAAATCTGACTTCCCTGTGCTAAGTGTTGTCCGCGCTAAAAAGTACTGGACCCTCCAAGTTAAGCTGCTTCTTGTCGTGGTGAGCATGTCGGCTGGCCGAGGTTGAACGAGGCCAAGCTGATATGCTCACTGTGCACCTGTTATAATTAGTGTCCCGTAAGATGCTGAATGATAGTGAACACGATGTTATGTTCGTTCCGTTTTGACCTGTACTAGAGACTGTATGTAGGTCTGTAACTCATGATGCATATGTATCGGGGACTGGCACAGCCGAGCGCCGTTACGATTTAGTAAATGGTCAAACAAGACCGTCATGTGATGATAGATAGCTGATGCTTGTGATTAGGTGCCATAGTATGTCATTCAAATTTCTCCACCAGTTTACCGTGACTGATTCTGAAGCGTGTCACATGAGTAACTACGAACATTGTTTTTGCAACTGAAATTCATCACTAGGCCTCCTTCAATAAATCAGGCCTACTACTGTAACTCTGACAAGTGTGCTATAGGTCGCCAAATAATTAAATAACTACTTGTCCTCAATCACTGCAGGTGTTTTCTTTTGTTGTTCTTCGCCATACTTGACTACGTTGAGAACTGTCTGCCAATCAGTACCTGTTTTCTCCCGCCGGATGCGCTTGATGGTAGCAACTGGAGTATGATCCAGACTCAGAGATAGTAATACGTTCTCCTTGTCACCGTAATGCGGCAGCTTCAAGTTGGCGTCGACCGTCTTGTTGATCTTCCTCTTGCGAATCTGACAGGTAGTACCAGCCGCTGTGCAAGAAGCTTCAAGTTGAGCCCATACTATGACTTTGCAACTTTCCACTGAGTCAGCTTTCTGATTTCATCTGAATCAGCACAACGAAATCCACAGCTGCTACTATTATGCACCTACCATTTTCCGAGTCAGACTCGGAGTCGTGACGGCGGCTGCAGCTCTTTCATTTTCCTTGACTCCCAAACTTGAACGAGAAGCGAGAATAACTTCAATAGTCTCCTGCGACTGCCAGTAAGAGATGTACTACGTGAGTATGAGTCACCGCAAGCGAAGGAACCGCCGGGGAGTGGCCACTTACCTCTTCTTCTTCTTCTTCTTCTTCTTCTTGATACTCAGGTTCCAGGGGCTCCCAGAACGACCCATCCGAGTCTATACCAGGACCAGTACTACTAGTAGTACCATTAGTGGGACCAAGCACTACCACGGATCTAGTAGAAAATTCAGATACGCCAAGTCGGGGACTCGGATCGAGTTGAACATGCACAATTGTATCCCGATTGACCCAAGAGGGTGTGGTCACAGTTGCTGCCGCATCCGAGTCACTGTGACTGGCAGGATGCTCACGGTCATATTTAAACATGTTACCGTTCAAGTCAGCAGTTGTCAGGAAGTTGGGTTGAGGTTAATGTTGACCGGTGAGCTCTTATAGTTGAGCGTATGACTGGCCCGGGTGACGTACAATACAGAACATGACAGCATGTAGTAGGGTCCTGCCAATGGATTCGACGCATAGGCCGCCCAATAGTGCTATGTACATATGCGCAGCCAGGCTCACTGGTAGGTGCTTAGTATAGGGCTCCACTTCAGGAAGATCCATTTGGCAAATATCCAACCAGGCCTTTTTGGAAACACAGATCGATTCCCATTTTTGGTATGTGCTGAGATATCCGATCATATCCGCCTTGTCAAAATAAGTTTGCTCCATTTCCTCCTCAGGCAACTGGCTGTCGAATTTTCGAGCCAGCAGCCCATAATTGTCCGAGGAGTCTGACAAGCACTGGCAGGTGGGAGTCAGTGTAAATGCCAATAATCGAAGAATCAAGTCATTCAGCGAAGTTCCTTTCAAACTCCGATGACATATTTACCAATCGCTTACAGACCGAAAATCCAAATACTTTATCCAAGTACCCACCGTGACCTTTGAACATGTTGCGATTCAGTTTGACTCCATCCTGTAGTGATGACCTTGACGCTAAGCCTTCATCCTGCTTCAGCCGTGGCATGGATGATGACTCGGAGCTCTATGTTCGGCGCTTTGCATCCACACCTCAACAAGTTGAGCCCCCCCAGCGGCTTGGCCATATTTCTGGCAATTCCATTGAGAGCGCTCCCAGCCGCTATTCAAGCTCTCCTCCGAGCTCTCCATCGTCAGCTATATTAGCATCAGGTATTGATGGCTCATAATGTGTCAGTGGTGGATTAACTCATAAAAATGACAGTAGCTACTAGCAGCACCAATGTGTCAGATGCGGAGGACGATAACTTCCCGCTGACACCTCAATCCAAGCAATCCTGCGGCGCATGTTATGTCGCCAACCCTTCTGCTGGGATTGCATCGCCGACTCCAAATCGTTCTCCCAAGATTGACAACACCGACGCTTTCTCTCTTTATCCCACGATCACCTCTTTCGAAGAGCAACATTATTTTGACAGATTTTTAGGCAGACCTGTCAATGACGAGCATTCACTGGAGAAAGTGAGCCAGAGGGTAAGCCATGTTTTGAACCATATACCACAGATCTCAATATGTGTCATTTATAGGTTCAGGATATCTACTCTAGCCATATAGGGCGGCTCAGCGCGGACTCTGTTCGCTGTGCTATTCATTACAAGGAGGCTGTTCGGGAACGCAAACGCATGCGCTGGTACACTGCGCGCTGGGAGGTTGCGGAGGTCCAAAGGCTGCACACCCTCCTTCTCTCCTTGCGTGATGAATCAGAAACAGAGTTTATCATGGCAGATCGAGAATCGCGTTGGCTATTGGACATTCTTATTCAACAACAGACACTGCCTGCTACCACTGCACAGGCGGAATATGCTGCTGCAACCTGCGACAACGACAAGAAATCTTTCCTTCTGGCTGATGCTGAACTCGCCATACTCGCCGATCGTTCTACTGAGCAGTAGCAGCTTGTGAATAATTAGTGCGTACGGCTTTTCCTGATGATGATCCCTAGTCACCATATTTCCAGATATTATTACCCTTTATGCAAGTTATATTGTGTTCACGCAGGAATCGTGGTGGATAAACTGGTGGCTTGTTCTTGATACCATGTACGATTACGCCTCGTCTACCTCGCAAGTTTGAAATAGTATTAGCTAGTACTGTTCTTTGTCTTTCAAGAAATACAACTCTGTATGCTCGATTTCGGATTGGTTCGTCGAGTACCCTGTAGTACATAGCAACGGTGTTCTCGTCCAGTCACGGTCGTACGTGCCAATGATAACACTAGTAGTAAACGACCAGTGACTAGTAACTGTATTACAGGTACCTAGTGACACCCAACTGAAAGTAAGTAGTACTACTATAGCTTCGCCAAAGCTTGTAGTTAGAACTTAGTGCTAACTTCTCGCAGACATTCATGTTAGTACTGAAGGTGTTCCACTGCTAGCCAACCGTTTGCCATGTGCCCCGAAATACTTTCAAGTTGTATCGGACTTTTCTTGCTTTTTTTGATGGTATCTTGCAATGCTCTGGGATGCTCCTGGGAGAGGCCAACAGACAGTCGCGGACTCGGCAGGCATCGCGAAACTTGTCATTTCTATAAGAGAGCAAGCAGCCTTGCGAGTCAGAGGAGACAAGACCGCGTGAAGGCGGTGCTTCTTTCCAACAGTCATTTGGTTCCAACAGCCTCTTCAACAAGCAGCTCCTCAGTGAGTCGCGATAGTTAACTGCCCACTTCGAAAGCTGCTAAAGTTATACTAAACATCAGAGAATCTTGACCACCTGGCATGTGAGGGACCGTCCAAGTCTGAAACCAATTGCACCTCACGGCCTCCTTGGGGCAATCTCTATGGCTCATGGGTCATGTACCAGTGCCTCCTGTCTCGCTGACTCACAATGCACCCTCGACTCAGAGCAGCGACAAATTGATGTAGAGATGGCGAGTGTTTCTGGAACCGTGTTGGAGTATAATCACGAGGATTCAGGTTTGTATCCCTGTGGGCAATCGTCTTCCATATATTTTTAACGAATTACTCGAACCTTTCAGAGGAATTCGCACTCCCAATGAGACGCATTCCTAGATCTCTTGATTGTATTGAATCTTCGCACGATGACCTGAATCATTCTGATAGTGCTGACATCCCATCAGTCCGAACGGCTTCACTACCTGCCCAATCTAGAATCCAACGTGTTCTCTTAACACTAAGGGACACCCTCCAGACCTGCTTCAATTTATTTGGACTATGTCGGCTCTACCCTCGCCGTCCTTCTTTTGAGCCAGACCAATTCATTCCATCTTTGCTACTGGCAAGAATGTCTCCCACAGCTATCCATGAAGCTGATCCAAGCCCTTTGTCAAATGTCTTCGCGCCGCCTTACCCCTTCGCTAACATGACTATCTATTGACTTATCTCCTGGATGAATTCAGGCAGTAGCAGGTTATCTGAAACCAAGGTCTCGCGTCTGGTCAGAGATGTCCTACTGGCAGAAGATTTTGATTGTAAGGACCTCGAGAACTTCTCAGTGAAGCGAAGCTTGTGAGAACTAGACAAGCATGAGAGTGGAAGTAGAGTTAATTTTCCAGACGACTGGATTCAGACTAGTGTCACTATCGACATTCCAACAAAATCAAAGGAGGATGGGTCTCAGCCTTATACCATCCCCGGATTTCATTATCACCCTCTTGTTGAAGTCATACGTGTGGTGTTCGTGGATGCACAGGCGGGAGCATTCCATCTCTTCCTTTTCCAACGGTTATGGAAAGATCCTTTAGATGACCATCAAGAACGAATTTATGATGAGCTGTACACTTCAGATGCCTGGCTGGACGCTCAGGACAGTATTCAGAGGATACCAAAAGAACCTGGGCATTCACTCGAGCGTGTCATCGCGGGTCTCATGTTTTTTTCCGACGCTACTCATTTGGCAAACTTTGGGACTGCGAAGGCCTGGCCGCTCTACCTATATTTTGGTAATCTCACAAAATATGCACAATCATCACCCTTATCAGGGGCATGCCACCTAGTGGGGTTTTTACCCTCAGTGAGTACTCTCTGACATGTCTATAGCGTTGTTGACAGCGCAATGGCAGCTTCCCGACGGTGTTAAAGATGTACTCAGTAGCTTATCTCACATATTGAAGATGGGCATGACGTCCCTTCATGCCCACTGTCGTAGAGAACTGTTTCATTCCTGCTGGGAGATCCTATTGGATGAAGATTTTCTTTCTGCGTACCGCCACGGTATCGTTCTGAAATGTGCTGACAGAGTGGTGTGGAGGGTGTTTCCCCGCATCTTCACGTACTCCGCTGATTATCCTGAAAAGTACGTCCATCTATGGTCTAAAGAACGTCGAATCACTCATAACTCTACAGGGTTTTAATTGCAACTATCAAGGACATGGGCTTATGCCTGTGTCCTCGCTGCTTGACACCCAAAATCTCGTTTAGTTTTCTCGGACTCGCGAGGGACATGAGAAGTCATATAAGCAACCTTCAAGTTTATGTCATGGCCAATGTTGTCAGGGCTTGTGAATTTATCTACGCTGGGGGAAACACGGTAGACGGCGCAAAGGTAGAACATACCCTTGGAGAGGGCTCGTGGATACCTACTCTGGTAAGCGACTTTTTCCCATTTCGTGATCGGCTCTCACCATCTACTCGCAGAACCAATTTGTCGAAAAACTTGGACCTCTAGGCCTTGACCCATTCTGCATGCTCATCGTCGACTTCATGCACGAGTGCGAACTGGGTACCTGGAAGGCCCTGTTCACACATCTTATAAGGCTTCTTTATGCCCTTCCTCAGGGTAGTGAGCTTGTTGCAGCTTTGGACAGCAGGTACGAGGAAATCTTAAGGGGTGCCATTGCTCACTAACAGGTTCACACACCTCCATCCTACTGTAGGTTTCGACAGGTCCCAACCTTTGGTCTTGGCGTAATTCGCAGATTTTCAAATAATACATCTGAGATGAAAAGACTGGCAGCTCGTGATTTTGAAGATATCTTACAGGTCGTGTTACCCGTTTTTTGCATTCGACCCGCTGACAGTCCATCATTAGTGTGCCATTCCAGTCTTCGAAGGGTTGTTCCCCGATGACCATGATGCAATGGTGCAGTCTCTGTTGTATCAATTTGCCAAATGGCATGCGCTTGCCAAGCTCAGGCTTCACTCTGAGTCTACGGTCAATTTTCTCAAAGAAACATTTAAGAAGCTGTTGCAGAAGTTATGGAAGTTTCGAGCCTTTACCTGTGCTGCTTTCAACGCCATCGAATTACCTAAGGAGAAAGCGGCTCGCCAACGCAAAGCTGCTCAACGCTTGGAAGCAAATGGTTCTCTTCCACAATCCAGTGGGCCAAGGACAAAGAAGTTCAATTTAGGTACATATAAGTTTCATGCGATGGGGGACTATGTGAGAACCATCAAGCTCTTTGGGACCACAGATTCCTTCACTACTCAGATTGTATGTACTGTCTACTTTCATATCGCGCTCCTGACATTAGGTTTGACCAGGGAGAGCTCGCTCACAGAGCGTTAAAGGCATTTTATCCGCTCACTAACAAGTTAGACACTCCAGCACAGTTAGCTAAGCACGAGCATAGGCGCCGTGTACTACGGCGTGTGGGAGAGGTTGGTGATTCACCCTCTTCTAGCAGTCAACAACCAGCCCATGCTCCCTCATTGGCGTCCTATGACAACTTGAAGCATCACCATATTGCAACTACTCAGAACAACCCGGTCAACCTATTTTTGTTTCTCCAATCACACGATGGTGATCCAGCCCTTCAGGTGGGAGTATCATTGCATTTTGGAGGCACCTGAGAATTTACCCATTATCAGAATTTTATACCAAAATTAAGGGACCATATCCTATATAGGCTGCGGGAGCTGGAGATTGGTTATTGCGATCACATTTTCACGGACGAGGAATGGAACTCGATCATCATCCCAAACAACACAATCTACTTGGTTCAAACAATGCAAGTACACTACACGACTTATGACTTACGGCGTGAGCACAACACCATTAATCCTAGGACCCATGGGGACGTTATGGTGCTTTCCAGGGAGACAAGGCCTAGTCACCCCTACTGGTATGCTTGTGTATTGGGCATATACCACATGGTTGTATGGATCAACAATGGGGGCCAACCAGTGAAGCGACACCTCGAAGTTCTATGGGTTAGATGGCTGGCAGGCTTGCGAAGCTATAAGTCTGGGATGAAACATGCTCATCTTCCAAAGATAGCATTTGTGGAGGAGTCGGATCGGGATGCTTTCAGGTTCCTCGATCCAGGACAGGTAATCCGAGGGGCACATTTAATTCCTGTGTTCGCCTCAGGACGTGGTGTAAGCTCGCTTCATCACGGAGAGTCGTTGGCACGCCCTGGGGGGGAGCTGGATGATTGGGAGGAGTATTACATTGGGATGTAAGTCCAAGTACCTCTTTCTGTGCGCATCAAGCCTCAAGCTTCGAGTTAGATTCGTGGATCGAGATATGTACATGCGCTATACTCACTTTGGCGTTGGGCATTCTGCCATGCTGCGGAAGATCATTAAAGATTGCCTCGGCTCTCATTTGGTGCACAGCAGTGTTGTAAACGGTGGTAACCAGGGGGATGCTGATGGTGAAGAGACCTGCGAAGGTGAGGGTCATGACAAATGCAACGATGGACAAGAGGGCAGCGATGACTCTGACGAGGACGAGGAAGAATATGACTTGGATGATGAGCTTAGTGATGGGGAGCTGGTCGAGGGAGTCGGGGAGGACAACAGTGAAGAGTATGGAGATGAACTTGACGACAAGCTTTATGGTATCTCCTTCTAGTCTCAAATCTACCCCTACTATGTGCCATTTACTACATTATCAGCCATTTGCTTGAAGTTCAAATTCTTGCACTCAACCATTACAAGTTGTCGCATGGACTAGTATGTTTTCATCTCACCTCTTCTCTCGTCGTTGCTAGTAGTATTGCCGCCTCTGCCAAGACATGACCATCCGAAACGAAAGGCAATCATGGCCCGTGCTACAGCCAATATCGCTGTGCATGACGTCGCTAAAGCGTGGGAATGAGAATATGTTAGAGCCCCATGCATGCCTCCATCTGATCAAGTGACTGGGGAGTCGCCCTTTAGTACCACGGTCGCCTGCATATATGAAAGGCCATATATATCATATCCCACAAACAACGATTGGACTGGTGGAAGACTTGCAAGTCGATCGCCGCATGGAGCAAAATCTTTGATTCAAGCCCTGAAGGCACTGAGGGAGGCCTCGAAGGCAGAAGAGGCTCACAGAGAAGGCCGCAAGGCAATTTGCAAAGCACAATGGCACAACTTCGACGTCTATACACAACGACTCTGTGCCAGGCAGCATGTCTCGCTCTGCACTCACCAGCATTTCTGACGCTAACAGAACGGATGACTTGACATCCATGGCCAAGCTCCAGATTGCCACCAATAGGTGTGTATCATGTCTATTGTGATGGAGGATGCTGATCCAGCTATAGGAATGCAGCGGGAGTGCTTGTTTCAGATGCTGAAAGGCAGGGATATTAAAATTGATTCCTATATGTTATCATTCCATGGTCGTCTGCTCATCATCGAGGGTGCAGAAACCTCCATCAACTATGGACAGCACTATGGTCTATTGGGTGAGAATGAGTCTGGAAAGGTACGCTTTCATATTCCTTCTGTATCTTATCATCTTACACTTTCCCCCTAGTCTATCTTCCTCCTCTCCAGCGCAGAGCGCGACATTGAAATTCCACCAGATTGACATCTACCTCCTCCGTGGTGAGACAGAACCGTCCGATGTCAACGCTGTTGACTTCATCGTGGCCTCCGCTCGCGAAAAGGTCGCTAAACTCGAAAAGCGCATTGAAGATCTCAGCATCGCAGATGATGTTGATGACGCCGCCCTGGAGGCATCTTGGCTTCAGACAGGCTTCCATCCTACAAAAGATAGGAGTGGTGGTTGGCGTATGCACGTGCACTCTTTGTTAAGCCACATCTGCTCCTCCTTGTTGAGCCGACGAACCATTTGGATCTCGGTGCTGTCGTTTGGCTTGAAGAATATTTATCAACATACAACGACGTTCTCGTTATCACCTCGCATCTGCAAGGTTTCATCATCTCAGTCTGTGCTAACGTCATGGATTTGACGACAAAGAACAAGCTCGTCTACTATGCTGGTAACCACACTACCTGTGTGCGCACTAAGCAGAAGAACGAGGTGAATCCGACCGTCAGGAGGAAGAAACAACCCACATCAAAAGTACGTCTATCTCTTTCTCGCAGTTTGCCATTGACTGAATGCTATCAGATTCATCGCTTCCACTGGTACATATGCCAACCTCGTCAAGCAGGCCAAGTCGAAACAAAACATCACCAACAAGATGGAGGTGGTGGGACTCGTCGAAAAAGTTGAGATGCCTCGACCGCTGCGCTTCCACTTCGAGGGTATTCGCAAACTCCCTCCTATCATTGCATTCGACGAAGTCGCCTTCTCATACTCAGGCAATCCTGAAGATTACTTGTACAAATAATTGTATGGAGTACGTCTTTTCTTTCTACCTTGGGTCTTGTCCAGCTCACTCGTATGTAGTATGGACTCTTGTGTAGCCATCCTCGGTGCAAACGGTGCCGGAAAATCGACACTTCTCAACCTCATCACTGATGTCCTACAACCCTCTCGAGGCACTACTTCCAAGCATACTGCGCTCAAACTCGCCAAGTACAGCCAACACAGCGCGGACCAGATATCACACAACAAGAGTCCGATTGAGTCCCTCCTCTTGCTTTTCCATGAGAAGCACCCCGAGAAGGACAGTTGTGGCGTGAAGGCAGCAACTACGACTTCATAAAATTTGTATGTGGGGAGTATTTGGTGTTACATTGTATCGTGCATGTGTCCAGTATGGGCAGCCACTTAACTTCATTCTCAGCCTCTTGGAACTTCCATCCCTCTTCATGCGTACGGTCTGATACTCGTAAGCCCGTTCAGAATTTTATAGTTTTAACCCGGCTTACCTAGAAGCACTAACGCGCACCTCTGAGTCCCAGGAGACACTCCAATTCCTCTATCTCCATCTCGAAAATCCGGCACTCTCTCGCAATCCACAGCACCATCATCGCGCGCATTTCATCTGACCAGACCGGAGGCAGCAGATAGGGTTGAAATGGTAAGTTGGGGTTGTAGAGTTGTTGACGCACGCGGTTTCGTGCGGCTGCCCATGTAATATACATCAGTTCCTTCAACAAGGTCAGTGTTGTGGCTCACTGATGAATGCGTCACTCACCACCTGCCTTCCGGACATCATGAACGTCACGTTCCAAGGCCTCAGTGCGAGTTGCAAAAGGTGTCCGGGAATCTGTCGAATATCGGTGAGTAGCAAATGGTTTTTTTTAATCCTCGACGTACCTGGTGATCTCAGTCTTGGTCTTGGTCTCCATTTTGGTTTCTGACTCCTCCATCAACATCAGAATTGTTATTCATACTGGTACTAGAGTAGTAGATATGAAAATCCAATTCAGATTGATCACCCTCGTCGAATGTTGAGTTAGCGCGTTTGAGAGAAATGTCCTGATTTGGGCAAAATATGTCTCTGGCATTTACCGGAATAGTATATGTCACGTTGGATCAACAAAACTTGAGCATCCATGGTATAATGGTTGAATGTCGCGTATCCCGAATTTATTTACCAGGAAGCTCCTGAGTTCAATTCCTCTGACAGTTATTATTTGGTCTGTTTCTTTTTGTGTCTCTAACGCAGAACATTTACTACTCAAATGCCAAAACTATTGGAGGAATGCATTTAGTCGCCAACACCGACACCTGGTTGAAAGGCGTAGTCTATCGAAAAGTCATAAATAACCTTATAGTTGAAACATAACGAAAGAAAAATAAGTACACTCAGAAAACGTATGCACTTCACGCTACTGGCCCTTACAGGCAGCAATGGTACATTGTCACAACATTGTCACAAACTCGCGTGTTAATCTAGATTTGGTGACCAATGTGAACACCACGTTCCACGAGAAAGTCTTGTATAGACATATAATTCACATCATAAATATTGAAGAATGAGAATGTTCAAAAAGGGAGACACACTTACGCTACCATCTCTTGCCGGCCGTCACGCTACGACGTCACAACCTTATCATCAACTCCTCGCGATAATCTAGATTTGCAGACATTAATGGCTATGTACCAACAACTCAGATTTATCGCAGTAGACATAGCAATATTTACCTAGAGCAAAATTGTATCCTTCTATAGTTCTCACGGCTACAATATCACGGACTCATGAATTCACTGATGGAGGACTTCGAGGAACGGGGCCACACAGAGGGATGAAGAAGGCGATTTTTGATTGTTTTTTGCTTCTCGTGGCTATTCTAAACACACCTAGCTACTTAGAATAAGAAAAAACGCATTTTTGAGATTTTTGGTAACCTGGGTCAGAGTCCGGACAAAATTCAGCCCTCAGGTGAACCCAGGACGGCATCCGGACAAAAATCCCCAAAACGTGTCCGGACAAGTTTGGGCCTCAGCCGACCTGGGTTCTAAAGGGGTTCTCATGGGTCCTCCAACAGATCGTGTCTGCTTTTTACGGCAACCTGGTTGATATTCAGGGATATTGGACTGCATGCGCGCTACGGTGACATTGCACAAGGCTGTGAAATCGTTGTGAGACAAGATTCCGCTGGAACAGCGGATTGATTTTATATTCTATAGGGAGGTTCACGCACAACTTGTTACAAAATTTGCTACACGCACCTGTGCTTTGATTACTTGCAATTGAGCGACTTGTCAACATTTTTGTGGTAGTCGAGAAGTATTTTTGGGGTGAACCGTTTTGACATGACACTTTTTGGGAAATGCCGCCGGAGCCGGAGCCAACATTTTTGCGTTGTCGAATTCACTCGAGCCGTCAGATCAGACTTCTACCTCCTGGTCCGACGACCACATTGTATGCAGCAAGCTGCACCATCCTGCTCGAAATGGCGGACTCGCAAGTCGTTTGCGGCATACTTGATGAGATGACTAGTAGTATGACATCAGTGCGAGAGTCGATGCAATCCCTCAAACAAAAGTAAAAGTTTGTACCCATGACGGTGCAGCTCTTATTGACATTGCTCTAGATTAACAACTGCAAATGAGATGGATATGAAGGACGGAATCTCATTGCTTTCACTCAAACACCATCTGCTTCTGTCGTACTTGCAGTCGCTTGTCCTCCTCTCTGCACGCCGAGCAACTGGAGACTCGTTAACAGAGAGAACACCAACCAGTTCCCCCTTCAGTACAGTCGATCGAGAGGCACGGGGCTCTGGCGCTGGCGATCTGGTTGACTCTATGATAGAGGGTCGCGTTGTACTTGAAAAAATAAAAGTCCTGGAAAGCAGGATGCGATACCAGATCGAAAAGCTAGTCAGAGTTGCTGAAGAAGTACCTTCTGGCAAAGATGTGGTCGAAGGTGTGTTTTTTTTACGCTGTAATAGCAATTCCTTGCCGATATGCCCTATCAGATCCTCTCGCCTTCCGTCCAAATCCCCAAAATCTCGTCGACGATGAGCAGCACTCCGACGAGGACCAAGACGCCCGTTCAGATGTTGAAGACCCCGATGGAATATACCGCCCTCCCAAGCTCGCACCCATGCCCTACACGCGGAAGCCGCAACCGACAAGCGTTCTAAA